TTAGCATCTGTATCTCACAACGCGTCTAGATTTGACTCGCTCGGTTTTGGCACGCTGTGCGGTGCAAGACACGGTGGCTCCAAGGCGCGGCGGCGAGATGTGCCCATGATGTGTCACAACGAATCCCGTGCAGTCTGTTCCACACGCCGCGGATTAAGATCGTGGTGTGGCGTGGCGGGGCGTGGCGGGGCGTGGCGGGGCGTGGCGGGGCGTGGCGGGGCGTGGCGGGGCGGGCCCCACACGATGCACTAGCGATAGGGGTGGTCCTCGGTGATCGATTAACACACGGCAATCGGTGCCGTCCACCACGGTAGTCTGTCGCCTGTCTGTCTGTCTGTCTGTCTGTCTGTCTGTCTGTCTGTCTGTCTGTCTGTCTGTCTGTCTGTCTGTCTGTCTGCCTCCCTGTGCTCCCTGTCTGTCTGTCGTCTGTCTGTCCGTCTGTCTGTCTGTCTGTCTGTCTGTCCGTCCGTCCGTCCGTCTGTCTGTCTGTCTGTCTGTCTGTCCTTCTGTGTGAGAGAGTGTGAAGTGTGCCTTGTCGCCACATGTATAGTTCCGGTTCCCTGAGCGAAACCCGTGAAAGGGGGTGGGGGCGGGGGGAGGCCCGGTGGCGGTGGAGAGTGTGGAGAGGGCCTGCCATCAGACAGGTGAGTCGCGGCAGAGCGGCGGAGCCCTGGCGGTGCCTTTCATGTCGGGCTAATCCCCTTTTAATTGGGGACTCTGCGTGTGAACGCCGCGCCGCCTGGAGGCTGCTGCCGTCCCTCTCGCACTCGTGGGGCGTCCCGTACAGGTGCGAGAGGGACAGAGCGAGGAGACGCTCTCCGGCGGAATCAGTGTGTTGTACAGTGTACAACCGGAGCAGCCATGGAAGTTGACTGACTTGTCTTGGCGCGAAACGCTTGCAGATGCTTTCGCCCTTCGCGTTATGCTGTTGGTCTCTTTTCCCTCAGTCCAGCTTTCGCCGCGGGAACAGAATTCCTATCGGGTTTGCACGGTGGGCCCGACCGGTGGAGGTGGCCAAACTTCTAGACGCGTTTTGAGCTCCAGAGTCGCTAAATGGGACTCGAACTGAACGTGTGACCCCTCTCAGAACGAGGAATCCATTGGTGGGGTCACACGTTTGGTTCGAGTCCCATTTAGCGACTCTGCAGCTCAAAAAGCGTCCGGGATTTCGACTGCCTCCACCGGTCTTCTGGCCCACTGTGCGTCTTGCGTTCTTTTCGTCCGATTTCACTCCTGTTTGTTCGTTTTTGCCTGTCTTTGCGTCCATTCTTATGTGTACAGCCAACCGTTTGCGTCCTTTCGCCGTTTTTATGTCACCTTGTCTCTCCCTGATGACAGGCCGGCCATGGCCATGGCTACCGTGGACGGCGCCACCCAATGATGTATAGTACACTGTCCCGAAAAGCCTCACTCGGTTCCAGAGTTCCAGCAGCAGCCGATACTGGAGCTAAATTGGAAGTTTATGTTTTTGTTGTTTTTCTTTGTCGGTAGCGGAGTGGCGCCTGTATGTACTGCTGGAGGAGTCGTCATCTCACCTGTTTGACCGCCCTGCCTCTCTCTCTCTCTCTCTCTCTCTCTCTCTCTCTCTCTCTCTCTCTCTCTCTCTCTCTCTCTCTCTCTCTCTCTCTCTCTCCTCTCCCTTCACTGCTTGTTAGAGCCGTCCCGCCGTCATGACCGTTTACATAATGGGTCTCCTTTTGTTTTAGAAGCATTTACAAGGCAGCCAGTCACGGACGCGGACGTATACCAAAAACCCTCCATGTGCCCTTTCTTTTTTTGGGGGGGGGGGCGAATGGGGCAGTTTCGGCAGGCCATACATAGCCTCAGGCTTGGAGCCACCGAAAAAACAGCCCTTCTACGTACCTCTTATTTGCTCCAGGACGCCAAAATGCTGTGTATGCGTGCATTTAGGTCTCCAGCGCACTATGGAATGGGCCCCGCATGGAAGGCTCAGAGATGGGCGGGAGGAAGGGCGCACAGTGGCAAGGAGCCTCGGTCCGAGCGTGTGACCCACCAATGGAGTCCTCGTTCGGAGAGCAGTCCATTGGTGGGGTCACACGTTCGGTTCGAGTCCCATTTAGCGACTCTGGAGCTCAAAACGCGTTTGGGGTTTTGGCCGCCTTGCCTGCTCCGGTCTTCTGGCAAATCCACTGTGGGGCGTAGCGGCTTACGGACGGCCCCTTATCAATTCAATTTCCCCGAAGGAAACGCGTGTGTCCCCCACGAGCCCCCTAGCCCGACACCGCCACAAAATATCCTAGCGGATCGTCCCGGGGGTCCAGTCCTGCATGCTGCAGTGTTCAGGTTCAGGACATCAGAGGAGTCCTCCTCTGTCTCACTCGCACCCACTCACCTCTGTCGACCGGCCGACCCTTCTCTCTCTCTCTCTCTCTCTCTCTCTCTCTCTCTCTCTCTCTCTCTCTCTCTCTCTCTCTCTCTCTCTCTCTCTCCCGCTCGCTCCGGACTGACTCTACTCCGGCAGATGAAGACATTAGTTCCGGCAGCGGGTAGGGAAGGCTGGGACGGCGCACTGCTAGTGCTGTCGGCACGGCGGATTGTCTTCCGAGAGTCGTTCTCGTCGCTCTGTCTCTCTCGCACTCATGGGGCGTCCCCTACAGGTGCGAGAGAGACAGAGCGACGAAAGCGACTCTGCAGGCAATCGGCCGCATGGCGGGGGGCGTCCGGAAACTCCCTGCGGTCCGCAGCGCCGAGGGGGCGTTCCTAAGCAGGGTGTGGTGTAAGGAGACGGCTTAAAAAAAAATAACCGCGAAAAAAAATACTCTTCAAGTTAAAATGTGGACACTGCGACAAAACAAAGAATTGCAAAGTCGACCTCCCTTCAATTTTTTTTTTCGCAGAGTGCACAGATACAGGCAGACTACCGAACTGCCGAGCAAACTTACCAGCTTCTCTTTTTTTCCTCCCCTGTATACGTGGTACTGCGATTTTACGAGTTTCCAGAAGCCGCGGCGCGGTGCCGCCGGGCAGCACACTGATTCCGAGAGTCGTTTTCCGTCGCTCTGTCTCTCTCGCACTCATGGGGCGTCCCGCTCGGGTGCGAGAGAGACAGAGCGAGGCGCGTGCGCTTCGCATTCCGAGATCAATTCGGATGGCGCGGCGCCCATTTCGAACCTTTGTCACGATCTTGTCAGCGAGAGGCGAGTGGGCGGAAGAGAGAGAGAGAGAGAGAGAGAGAGAGAGAGAGAGAGAGAGAGAGAGAGAGAGAGAGAGAGAGAGAGAGAGAGAGAGAGAGAGAGAGAGAGAGAGAGAGGCGCCGCGGGATGCCGTGTGTGGGAGAGGGACAGCGGCGAGGGGAATGGGAAAGGGGGGGGGGGCGGGGAGAGCACGCGACTGCCCACAGGTAAATGTCTTCATCAGGGCCCGGTCTGGTCTGGCGTCGTAAGCCGGGACTACACTGCTACAGTCGCTTCGGCCTACCTTCGGACCAGCGAGTCGTTCTCGTCTCTCTGTCTCTCTCGCACCTATAGCGGACGCCCCATGAGTGCGAGGGAGACAGAGCGACGAAAACGACTCTCGGAGTCAGTCTGCAGATCGAAGATGAAGGGCGGAGACGTCGGGAAGTGCCAGAGGCAACTTGGCAGCCGCGACCCTGACCCAGCCAGCCACGCAGGGTCGGCCAGTCTCTCTCTCTCTCTCTCTCTCTCTCTCTCTCTCTCTCTCTCTCTCTCTCTCTCTCTCTCTCTCGCGCACCTGTGCGGGACGTGCCATGAGCGCGAGAGAGACCGAGTCCCTCTTCCGGTCCGGCGACGCTGCGAGTGCGACGGAGAGAAGTGCGGCGCCTGGCCGAAACCTCGAGGAAGCAGTTCCGCAGAAAAGGGCTAGCCGAGGCGCCAGGCTGCGCCGGTCCAACAGGTGCGGCAATCGCCGTCTCTCTCGCACCCTTCGGGCTTCGCACAGTGGGCCAGAAGCCGGTGGAGGCGGCCAAAACTCTAGACGCGTTTTGAGCTCCAGAGTCGCTAAATGAGACTCGAACCGAACGTGTGACCCCACCAATGGATTGGTTCGAGTCCTGTTTAGCGACTCTGGAGCTCAAAACGCGTCTAGAGTTTTGGCCGTCTCCACCGGCTTCTGGCCCACTGTGCTTCGGCCGCCTTTAGCCGCCTTTGGCGCTCGCTGAGTGCGACAGGGACAGCAGACTGAGCAGAGGACTGGGCTGACGGCCCCGTCAAGGTGAGGGCAGCGCGAAGCTGGAGAAGGTTGCTGTGTGAAGTCCGCGTGGCGTCGCGGCCCTGCGCGGCCACCAGAGCAGGGTGCAGGCTTGGCGGCCAAGCCACGACCAAGCCCGCACAGTGGGCCAGAAGACCGGTGCCGGCGGCCAAAACTCCAGACGCGTTTTGAGCTCCAGAGTCGCTAAGCAGGACTCGAAGTGAATGTGTGACCCCACCAATGGATTGCTCTCCGAACGAGGAATCCATCGGTGGGGTCACACGTTCGGTTCGAGTCCTGCTTAGCGACTCTGAGCTCAAAACGCGTCCAGAGTTTTGGCCGCCGGCACCGGTCTTCTGGCCCACTGTGTGCCGCCGGGATACGGGCCACGGCGACGGCGACCACCGGGGAGGCTGGGCAGGGTTCCCCGCCGAGATGGGCATGGCCAGGCCGTGGCAGCCTGTGGCCAGGCGGGGCAGGCAGGCAGGGCCCCTTGTTGGCGGGGCGCGGCGCGGCGCGGCGTGGCGGGGCCTTGCGTCCCAGCGTGTGTGGTCCTGGCTCAATGGCGGCAGTGTGCAGCCCGGCACGGCGACGGCCCCCGCCCCGCCCCTCCCCGCCGGCTGAGCCCGGGCGGCCCCGCTCGTCAGACAGCCGCCGGGCCAGGCCCCGGCCAGGCCGCCAGCAGACGGTTGCTAGGCGACGCGGCGCGCCAGCCAATGGGAGCGCGCGCTGGCCGCCAGGACCGGCGCGGCTCGCCAGGGCGCGGCACGGCGGAGGACCTCCCCGGTGGTCCTCGACGGCGGCGGCGGCGGCCCACCTTCAGTCCGGAGAGAGACGCCCCCTGAGCAGGACGTCACGCCAGCGTCACGCTACCGGCCGCGAGTCACAGCGCCGCGCGCTCTAGTCCGCACGGCGGCCACGTCGCGAGTGAATACCTTGGATTACAGTGATGTGTGCTAGTGAGTGCTAGTGTTGTGAAAGAGTGCCAGTGCCAGCTAAATGTGCCACCCCGACCGGGGCAGGCGTCAGCCAACGACATGGTGGCGGTGCACTCGTCTTGTGAGACAGAGAGGGACGGTGGTCGTCCCGGCCGGCACAAGCCCTTGCCGCGATCCGGCAAGGACCCCGTCAAGGAAGCCGCGCAGCCCAAGGACCACGCCTCGGATCTGTTTATAAGGACGAGCTACTCGGATGCAGCCATCGGGTTGGCGCAGCTCGACAAGGTAAACATAACCTCTCTGGCGAACCTCCGCGCAGTGGGCCAGAAGACCGGCGGAGGCGGTCCAAATCCCGGACGCGTTTTGAGCTCCACAGTCGCTGAACAGGACTCGAACAGAACGTGTGACCCCACCGATGGATTGCTCTCCGAACGAGGAATCCCTTGGTGGGGTCACACGTTCGAGTCCTGTTTAGTGACTGGTAGCTCTGCGGGGTGCAGTGAAAGTCCTGCCTCGGCGTTCGCTTCGCCGGAGTCTTGGATGCTCCCAGGACGAGGGCAGGGCACTGGAAGGAGTGCTGCAGCGTCCACGGCTGCCCGAGCAGCAGCAACACCTGGCATTCCTAACCTCAACTGCGGTCCTGGCGGGGCCTCCTACGCCAGCCAGGCCAGTCTCAGTCTCCCCCGGCAGGCCCTGGCGAGGCACAGTGGGCCAGAAGACCGGTGGAGGCGGCCAAAACTCTAGACGCGTTTTGAGCTGCAGAGTCGCTAAATGGGACTCGAACCGAACGTGTGACCCCACCAATGGACTGCTCTCCGAACGAGGAATCCATTGGTGTGGTCACACGTTCGGTTCGAGTTCCATTTAGCGACTCTGGAGCTCAAAACGCGTCTAGAGTTTTGGCCGCTCCACCGGTCTTCTGGCCCACTGTGCGAGGCCCGGGCCAGCCTGCCAGCCAGCAAACTGATTCTGAGAGAAGTTTCCGTCGCTGTCTCTCTCGCACTCATGGGTCGTCCCGCACAGGTGCTGGAAGAGGGACGTAGAGGACTCTCACAATCAGTCTGCAGCAGGCGAGGCTTGAGCCCGACTGCTGTTCTGCGCCGAAGTGTGTCACCGACGGGACTTGCTGTGGAGCTGCGCAAGCTGCGCACTGCCCGCTCCGACTTTCAACGCTTTCTTTAACGACTTTTGACCGGTCCGCCCGCGAGACGAGGGGCTGAGTCGCTTTCATCGCTGTCTCTCTCGCGCTTGTACTGGACGCCCCACGAGTGCGACAGTTTGGCAGAGCGACGAAATCGACTCTCAATCTGCTGCCCGCTTTCGCGCCACAGAGCTGTCGTAAGACCCTGCTGCCCTTAAAGCACCTTAAAACGCAAGCCTAGAGCTGGTTGCTGGCACTCCTGGGCATGTTGTTGTCTCATTGTTACGCCTCCAGGCCTGGACGACCAAGGTGTCCACTGGACCAGCTGGACAGCTCTGGAGAAACACAGCGGCCAAAACGAATAGGAATCACTCTGCTGTTACGTCACGTTGCAGCCCAGCTGTCTCCCTCACAACCTCACTGAGTGACAAGCAGTCCAACAGTGCACAGAGGGCCAGAAGACCGGTGGAGGCGGCCAAAACTCCAGACGCGTGTTGAGCTCCAGAGTCGCTAAACAGGACTAGCCCAGAACGTGTGACCCCACCGATGGATTCCTCGTTCGCAGAGTAATCCATTGGTGGGGTCTTACGTTTAGTTCGAGTACCGTTTAGCGACTGTGCAGCTCAAAACGCGTCTGCAGTCTTGGCCGGCTCCACCGGTCTTCTGGCCCACTGTGCGCCGCTCGCCGCTCTCCCCGCCGCCTCCGTTCTCCCCGAGTCCACTAATAGAGACATCACAGAGCCGGGCCGGGGAGGGGGGCAGCAGGCAGCAGCGTGGTCCGCCAGGCACGGGGAACGCGCCCCCCCCCCCTCCCTCTCCCCCGCGCCCTCGCAAGCTATGCCGTGCCTTCCTCTGCCGCCCGGAGCCGACAACCGCCTGGCCGGCCCGGCCCCGCTAGCGCTGTCAAATGGGGCAGCGGAGCGGGCGGAGCACACTGTGAAAAAAGAAACGCCGTGTGTTTGTTTACAAAAAGTCGTTCAGGCTGAGTTTTTGGTAAGGAAATGGGAAGGGAATTTCCGTGCAGCTTCTCCGTGGGATCCCTTGTCATCGGATCACAGTGGGCCAGAAGACCGCGGTGGTCAAAGTCCCGGACGCGTTTTGAGCTCGAATGGGACTCGAACCGAACGTGTGACACCACTAATGGAATCCTCGTTCGGAGAGCAACCCATTGGTGGGGTCACTCGTTGGTTTCGAGTCCCATTTAGCGACTCAGTACCTTTTTCTGCCAGTGTCGTGGAAGAAGATGAGAGAAGCCACGTTTGACAATTACAGCTGCGTTCCCGCCTCGACGGGTGGTGGTGCCGTGGGCGCAGCCTGTGTGTGTGTATGTAGTGTTTGAGCGTGTGTGTGCGTCTTTCGAGTCCTGCCGGCCTGTTGCCGTTCTTATGGTGTTCCGTGGAAACCTTTTTCCACGCCGGCCCCTGGCTGTCCATGGCACACTGTTTACAGTGCACACGCCCCCGTATACGTAGTGTAATAGTGTACAGACCGGTATAGACAGTGGATTCTTGGAGCGATAAATCCGCGTCGGCTTCCGCGTTGCCAGAGGACTCCTGGAAACAAAGTCGTAAGAAAATTGAGTAATTTTAAAAAGACGCGAGGCGCCGCGAGGATTCGAACCCGCGCCAAAAGGAGCAGCTCCACGTGCCACTCGCTGTGAGGTCCGTGGATCGGCCCGCCGGCTTAGAGTTCCTTGAATCGAATCGAACGCCACTAATTTTGACCGCTCCCCCGAAGCGTCGGACCGGAGCCCTTCAGACTGACTCACTGCAAAGCGTTGCTCCTTCGCTCCGTCTCTGTCGCACTCACGGGTCGCCCCGCGGGGGTGCGAGAGAGACAGAAAGCGTCTCGGCTCGGCTGGACCCATCGGGGGCCACCCATAACGCGAAAGCAGCAGAGCTTTGCCGGGACTAATGATTCCCCGTAGCGGCAGGCCGCTGATTCCCGATCGTCGCTCGCTCTCTCTCCCTCGCACTCCTAGGGCGTCCCGTGGGGGTGCGAGAGAGACAGAGCGACCAAGCCCTCGGACTCGACCTGCTGGAGCCGACGCAGTTCTAATTGCCGCCACCACACTGGCGGGACATTCAAATGGCGAACCAGCTGAAAGTCTAGACGCGTTTTGAGCTCCAGAGTCACTAAACAGGACTCGAACCGAACGTGTGACCCCACCAATGGATTGCTCTCCGAACGAGGAATCCATTGGTGGGGTCACACGTTCGGTTCGAGTCCCATTTAGCGACTCTGGAGCTCAAAACGCGTCTGGGGTTTCGGCCGCCTCCACCGGTCTTCTGGCCCACTGTGCCTCGATGAAGACAGAGCAGAGACAGGCGGAGACGACACGCAAGAGCGACGGAGACGGGCGACGCGATTGGCGGCGCGCTTTGCCAATCAGCGTGGCAGCGCGGGTCAGGCCGGACGGCGTGCCGGACGGCGTGGGTTCAACGGGACTCACTCATGGCGGTCATCAAGCGGACCGCGGTGCCGCGCCGTCTCTCTCGCACTCGTGGGGCGCCCCGTGTGGGCGCGAGGGAGACAGAGCGGCGAAAACGACCCTCGGAATCGGTCTGCAGCCACCAACAGTTGCAGTCCGACTCTGCGAACTGTATCAGGGTGGCCAGCTGAGCGCGCGTGTGTTTACGTACGGAGTGAGTGAGTGAGAGAGAGAGAGAGAGAGAGAGAGAGAGAGAGAGAGAGAGAGAGAGAGAGAGAGAGAGAGAGAGAGAGAGAGAGAGAGAGAGAGAGAGAGAGACCTCTTATTCCCAGCATGACAACCGGCATTGAAATCAGATGATTAATTAAACATTGTGCAGTCTACTCTCTCTGCACAGTGTGACATCAGGATTGTCGTGTAGGCGGGGAAGAGGTTGTGGGCTGGAAAGGTCAGTAGCAGTATAGTAGGACAATCGAGGTAAAAACAGTCAACCGACGTCGGCATGATTAACTATAGAGGTGAAGAAACACCTCCTCTACCTTTTGAGTGGTGTAATTTCATTCCAAAGTTTTTAGCAGTGTGCCCGTGGCGGTGGCGTCGGCGGCCAGGATGGCTGCTTAGCCAAGGTGGGGAAGGTGGTTCACGACTTCCGCCGGTCCTACCCCCAAACGCACGCACGTACACACACACACACACACCCACTCTCTCTCTCTCTCTCTCTCTCTCTCTCTCTCTCTCTCTCTCTCTCTCTCTCTCTCTCTCGCCGAACGTGCCTGGAGCCTCGCGCCAGCCAAACACGCCCGTCCTGTGCAGCGGACTGCTGCCGAAGAGTGTCGCTCCGTCTCTCTCGCACTCGTGGGGCGTCCCGTCTGGTACACCGTAGGGGTGCGAGAGAGACGGCCACACGGCGACACACCTCGGACAGCGTGGCAGTGTGGCAGTGCGTGCCCGTGCAACGTCAAGGAGGCCGTCGCGCACGGACTGAGAGTCGTTTGCGTCGCTCTGTCTCTCTCGCACTCAAGGGGCGTCAGACCGGGCACGCCACCGCTAATCCAGACCGACTAGAGCGTGGCACAGTGGGCCAGGAGACCGGTGGAGGCGGCCAAAACTCTAGCCGCGTTTTGAGCTCCACAGTCGCTAAATGGGAGTCGAACCGAGCTTGTGACCCCACCAATGGATTGCTCTCCGCACGAGGAATCCATTGGTGGGGTCACACGTTCGGTTCGAGTCCCATTTAGCGACTCTGGAGCTCAAAACGCGTCCAGAGTTTTGGCCGCCTCCACCGGCCTTCTAGCCCACTGTGCGACGTTTTTAGTCCGGTCCGGAAGTGCGGAAGGAAGCGTAGCGGAAGAGTCCTCCTCTTCCCCTTCTCTCTCACCTGCGCGACGAGAGTATCGAATTCTCGATCGAGTTGCCCAAGCCCCCGGCCAACTGTCGGCGGCGCCGAAAGACCTGGAACGAGACCTGGAAGGCCGGAGAGCAGGGTCTTCTTCCTCGGTCGGCTTCCCAAAGTCTCGGCGTTCCTAAACGCCCTGTTTCACGCTTGAAGCGGCGCGGCAGCGGCCGGCAACAGGTGTCTCCCCTTCTCTCGCTCTCTCCCTCTCTCTCTCTCTCTCTCTCTCTCTCTCTCTCTCTCTCTCTCTCTCTCTCTCTCTCTCTCTCTCTCTCTCCCCCCCCCTCCTTTGCGGGACGCCCCACGAGTGCGATAGAGACAATGTCGAGCCCAGTTTTTCTTTCAAGAATGCATCAAACTTGTCGATAACATTGTTGTCACGCCCATGCAATAAGCCTACGGTCAATTTGTATATCGAAACTGTCATCATTCTCAGTGACGAAAATATCATCCTCGTTTTTCTCTTTCCTCAGAGTGACCTCTCATTTTAGCAGAGAGCAGTTTAGGATGTTTGCGATTTGAACCCTTGACCCCGCGGTTTGCCGCGCGGACCCAGCCAGCCGCGCAGCGTGCCAATGACCGAGAGAAGGGAGGCTGGCCTCTGGCCTTGAGGGAGAGAGAGGTAAAGGGGCGGGGGGGAAGAGGGGGGCCCGCCTCGCCGGGTGCTCCCCCCCCCCCCCTCTTTCCCCCTCCCTTCCCCGCCCCTGGGGTTGGCCTAGGTCGCGGCTCGGCGGCGCGGTGTGTAGCGGTCTACTCGCGCAATAGCTTCGCGGTCGCTGATCCCGCTCAGAAATGGGTGGCGGCGCACAGTGGGCCAGAAGACCGGCGGAGGCGGACAAAATCCCGGACGCGTTTTGTGCTCCGGAGTCGCTAGATGGGACTCGAACCGAGCTTGTGACCCCACCAATGGATTGCTCTCCGGACGAGGAATCCATTGGTGGGGTCACACGAACTGTTACAATCATTTTTGAAGGAAGGGGTTTCGGTGGAACGGTTTCTTGCAGGGCACTCTTTTTTTCTGGTGTGGTGGCTGCACTGCTGCCGCTGTCCGCGCTAACACATGGCCCACTGGTACCACCGCCCCCGCCTCGGCTCCTTGGGCCCCGACACGAGGCAGTTAGTCGTTCGCATGTTGGCACCGCTGTTGGCACTTACTCACCCCTCGAATTTATGGCTGCTTTTGGGTCCCAGGGCTGGCTGCCCTGCCGCTGGCGGACAACAGCTCATTTCGCTGTTGTCAGCGGGGCCATTTGATTTTACTCTATTTTTCAGTGCGACCGCGCGACGATAAACTAGGCCCTACGCGGTGCGGCAGTGGAGGCGGCCAAAACTCTTGACGCGTTTTGAGCTCCAGAGTCGGTAAATGGACTCGAAACGAACCTGTGACCCCACCAATGGATTGCTCTCCGAACGAGGAATCCATTGGTGGGGTCACACGTCCGGTTCTCGTCCTGCTTAGCGACTCTGAGCTCAAAACGCGTCTAGAGTTTTGGCTGCCGGCCCCAGCCCTGGATCCGCCACTGCTCTGCGATTGATAGGGTGTGGGTAGCCCTTGACGGGAGCTGAGCCGACAACACGACTTTTTGTGCGCCTCTCCAAACGACCAGCGCGTCTGTGTCTGTTTGATGTCTGCGGCGTCTTAGTAGCTCATCGCGCTGCTCCTACACCTGCCTTGCTCTCAAAATAAACACGAAATAACGAAAAAAAATTATTTTTTAACGTGCTGCCTTGTTGTCTTATGATCAGAGGATCCTTCACATCACCACACGCACTGAAAATTTAAGTGTGTACTGAGTACACACAGAGTACTTAAGTGTGTACCGAGTACACACATAAATTTCAGTGCGATCACGAACGTATTTTAGGTACTTAAGAGATGGATTCGTTGAACGACTAATATGGATTGTTGAAAGTCATTCTGAGAGATTTCAGTCCAGAAGCTAAAAAAAAAAAAAAAAAAAACTTTGCGGGGCACCCACTTGATAAGTCCAGGACTCTTGGCCATTGGTCTGTGTGTGCGTTGGCTTCTGGGTAGCGGCGTTATACCCCCGAGTCGTATCTATCTGTTCCCCTGCCAAATGTTTACCCAGGGCAAGCAGTGCAACCGGTGAGCACGGGGCAAACAGTTTACCTGCCCCAACAGGGGCGTGTGCCAGCTCTGTACATACTAGTCTTGTTTTCCACTCCACAGTGTCTTTCCACATCATTTCAGAAATTTCTAAAAAATGCGGTTTTTTTTTCGAAGTATTTTCTTGTACTGTACCTACTAAAAACTGATTAAAAATGAAAAAAAAAGAAATTTTGCAATTTTTTAAAGATTTTGTGCTTTTTTTGCCTCGTTCTCGCGGGGAATTTGCAAGTTTTTAACAGTGTTACTGTGTTCCTGTCTCACGCACCCTCTCTCTCCCGTTTGCAGGGCAAGGCTGGCGGCCGGCGGGGCGCCCTGTGGCTGCGCGCCAAGCTGCAGTCGCACTTGTTCACGTTGGGCAGCTCGCTGCAGCGCCACGCGGGCAAGGTGCTGTTCGTCGCCATCCTGGTGCTGTCCACCTTCTGCGTGGCGCTCAAGTCCGCCTCGGTGCACTCCCGCGTCGACCAGCTCTGGGTGCAAGGTAAGCCGAAGCCAAAGCCAAGCACAGTGGGCCAGAAGACCGGTGGAGGCGGCCGAAACTCTAGACGCGTTTTGAGCTCCAGAGTCGCTAAATGGGACTCGAACCGAACGTGTGACCCCACCGATGGATTGCTCTCCGAACGAGGAATCCATTGGTGGGGTCACACGTTCGGTTCGAGTCCTAGCGACTGTGTAGCTCAAAACGCGTCTTAGAGTTTCGGCCGCCGCCACCGGTCGTCTGGCCCACTGTGCGTGGAGGCCGCGCATGATGAGGGACACGTCGACTTTGTTGTTGGTATTTCGTCCGTTCTCTGTTTTCGTTTCTTTTTTCGCGCCCCGGCTTGTCGCCTCACCCCCACAGCACTGTCAAATATAGCCGCAGCAGCGGCGGCGTGTGTTGTGGCTCGGCGACTGGATCGGGTTCTTTGGTTGTGGCGACGAAAGCCCCGAGGTTATATTTTAGGCCTCACGGGGGGGGGGGGGGCACGTCGTCGCTCAGGGTGCACAGCAGTGCACGCACAGCCCTCTCGCTGCGACGTCTAGCCAGATGCGGGAGCATTCTAACCAACCCCTTCCGTCGTGAGCGAGGAGCGAGCGCCACACAGTGTAGTGACGCACAGCGGCAACGTCGCAACGTCACCCTCAGTCGGTCACTGATCGTCACACAGTGGGCCGGAAGACCGGCAGAGGCGGCCGACATCCTAGACGCGTTTTGAGCTCCATTGTCGCTAAACGGGACTCGAACCGAACGTGTGACCCCACCAATGGATTCCTCGTCCGAAGAGCAATCGATTGGTGGGGTCACACGTTCGGTTCAAGTCAACTTAAACGACTCTGGAGTTCAAAACGCGTCCGTGATTTTGGCCGCCGCCACCCGCCTTCTGTTTCTCGTCCGTTTCTTCGTCAGTCCATTTTCGCTCGCCATCACAACAGTTTTGAATAATTTATGTTCAGGTGGGTCCGGGGGCGTGGAGGGCGTGGCAAGGGCGCGCCCGTACCAAGTTCGTACACTGTATGCGCTCCTGAGTCTCGGCCCGCCGTCTGGGCGCCCCGCGTGCCCCTGCATTCGGCTGCACTTGCTGTGTGGTCCCGATCGGGAATTGGGGGGGGGGGGGGGGCTACGGCCCGTCTTCATTGAGCCGCGTCGGCTCGCTTTGGACCAATCAAAACGCGTCCCTTTGAAGACATCCGGGTGTTTGTCTCTGTCAGCGGAACTGTCTGTCTGGCTCTGCCTCTGAAAGAGTATAGCAGTGTATAGTACTAGCGCGCGCAGAGCGGAGGAGAACTTGATTTTGCTGTCCGGATTTTTCGTTGTTTGTTTTTGTTGGTGTGGTGCCCTTGGATGCACCGTGGCGCGCGCGCACACACACACACTCAGACAGACGCGAAAATTATACGCGTTATTACGACTCAGCGATTTGCATAATTGATCTCAATTTTTTTTAGGGGGCGGAATCCTGAGTTTTCTGAACTTTTAGCTATTGTTGTTTTTGTTTTTCGGTCGACTTTCGTGGAATCTGCCTTTGGCCTCGCCGTTTGCAGGGCTGCGTGCGTGCGAGTATCGGATGGCCAGTGGAACGGCCCCTGGGTCCCTTTGGGTCAGAGGGAAGGTCGCGCTCCGTTTGTTCGGCTGGGGCGGGGCGAGGCGGGGCGGGGCGAGGCGGGGCGGGGCGGGGCGGGGCGAGGTCTCCCTTCCGGCCCCAGTGATGTCTTGATGTCGTTTAAGTGCCGACCCCGTGTCTTAATCATTCTACCGACCCTCCCCCATCTTACCTGTGTGTATGTGACCCCCCCCCCCCCTTTTCCCCCTCTCCCGCATCGCCGTCATTGAGATGTCCACCGCCGCGGCGTTGGCGTTGACCGGTGGAGGCGGTCAAAACTCTCGTCGCGTTTTGAGCTCCTGAGTCGCTAAACAGGACTCGAACAGTACGTATGACCCCACCAATGGATTCCTCGTTCGGAGAGCAATCCATTGGTGGGGTCACACGTTCGGTTCGAGCCCCCTTTGGTGACTCTGGGGTTCAAAACGCGTCCGGGATTTTGGCCGCCTCCACCGGCCTTCTGGCCCACTGTGCGTCGGCGATGTCCGCGGCGTTGGCGACCCACGGCGACGACGGCACCGTTACTCGTCGCCGCCACCAAGCAGGCCGTCTTCTTGGAGGCGGCCGCTCCTCCGAGGACCCGACTCGTAAACCGTGGAGCTCGGCGGCAGACTGATTCCGAGAGTCGTTTTCGTCGCTCTGTCGCGCTCGCTCCTGTACAGGGCGCGCTCGGGGAGTGTGAGAGGGACAGACCGACGAAAACGACTCTCGGAATCAGTCTGCTGGCCAGACTTCTCCGGAGGATGGAGTTCTTACCTGTGTGCTGGCGTGTGTGCGTGTGGTTGTGTGTGTGTGAGTGTGTGTGGGTGGCTTGGTGGCGGCGGGTGTCCGTCGGTCCCCTCCTCCGGGCGACTCGACGGAGTGCTTCTCAACCTCGTCGGATTTCCCGGAAAAGCTCTCCAGCAGTGTGCCCCCCCCCCCTCCCCGTCCCCGAGCCGAAGATGTAAGACTGTTTTGTGTGACGACTCACTCGATCGCCAGGCAAATCATGTGGAGTCAATGTGGATGTAGAGATTTTTCTTCCACTTCCGCGTGGAGAAGCAAAGAAACCGTGTCTATTCCTCCATATTATACGTGTTGAAACTAAAATGTTTCGAGTATTTTTGATTTTGTGTTTTCCGTAAAGAATTGCCGTATCGCGAGTTGCACCAAGTCCACATCTTTGTCCTTGTTGTTGTTGTTGTTTTTGTTGTTGAGCTTCTTTGATCGCAGCCAGTGACGCGTTACGGCGTTTCATAGAGAATGTCACGATTCATTGAGGCCGCCCCGTTTGTCCGTTCGTTAATCGGTCTGTCGGCCTGTCTGTCTGTCTGTCTGTCTGTCTGTCTGTCTGTCTGTCTGTCTGTCTGTCTGTCTGTCTGTCTGTGTCTGTCTGTGTGTCTGTCGGTCTGTCTGTCTATCTGTCTGGCGATGAAGTCGCCTCGGCAGTGGGGTGGCGACCATCCCCGACCACAAGAGAGCAAAGCGCGGGTGGGTGGCGACGGCCAAGGCGACGGCGACCTCGCTTGCGACTCGACAAAAGGTTTTGTTGGTCAGTCGGACGGAGACTGGCGGATTTCGCCGAAGGCCGTTCGGTTTGGTGAATGCGAAACGCAGAACCACGTGCCACGTCTTTTCAGCCACCAGGCAGAAGCGTGAGAGTGCTGAATTTTTCATCCTTCGGCTCGCATCTCTCTCTCGAGGCAGCGCGACTGCGGTGGCGGGCGGCACGCTTTGAAAGGGAAGGTGTTGATGACGTCCAGGTCCCCCCCCCCCAACGGAGCCTTGACGGCCAAACAGTAGCTCCCCCCCTCCCCCAATTTCCCACCGCCTTTGAAGTCGCCGCCGTCCGCGGCGCCGCCCACCAACCGTACATGATGATACGCACAGTGTGCCGATTTGTCCGGAGGTTGCTCCGAAGGCTTCTTTTTCCCTCTCAGATTCGCCGTGGCGGGGCGGGGCGGGGCGGGGCGCAAAACCAGATCCCACTTCCACCCACCTACACCTTTGTACGACGGCGGCGCGTATTAGTCTCAAAGCCGGTCTTTCTCCTTGCGGCTGCCAGTGCGCTGTCTCTCCGTCTCTCTCGCACTCGTGGGGCGTTCCGCACCGGTGCGAGAGAGACGGAGCGCTGCGGATGGAGCCGTCAGGCGCACCGCAAGCGGAGCAAGCAGAGCGAGCGCGCCGCCTACAGTGCAACGTCACCGCCGCCGACGCCTTCGGTCTTCCGTCCGCGCAGGTGCTGCAGGCTGCCCTTTCTCTTTCTCTCTCTTTCTCTCTCTCTCTCTCTCTCTCTCTCTCTCTCTCTCTCTCTCTCTCTCTCTCTCTCTCTCTCTCTCTCTCTCACATCTTGTGTTGCTTACCTGGCAGGCGGGAGAAAAGGGGCAATGACCTCTGTGTGTCAGGTGGCGCGTGTGACCCCACCAATGGATTCCTCGTTCGGAGAGCAATCTATTGGTGGGGTCACACGTTCGGTTCGAGTCCCATTTAGCGACTCTGGAGCTCAAAACGCGTCTGGAGTTTTGGCCGCCTCCACCGGTCTTCCGGCCCACTGTGCGTTGTGCTCCTCCAGGGGTGGCCGAGTCGGGTGGTTGCTCTGTGCGCGGTGCCCCACCTGTGGCTGCAGCCCGAGAGTGTGGGTGCGAGAGAGACAGGGCGACGTGGCCCCATGTGCCGCAGGGGCCCCGGTACCCCCTACCGGTACCCATTACCCTCCCCCACCCCTTCGCCCTGCAGGGCCCTGCCTTGCCGGCCCGGGCCGCCACCCCGCATTTAATACGCTTCACGGATCAATGGGTCATGTCTTGATGCACCTTTGTCGGGCCGACGGGCCGACGCGTCGGGCTCCCTCCTGGCCGGCCGCGGGCGGGGCGGGGCACAGTGGGCCAGAAGACCGGTGGAGGCGGCCAAAACTCTAGACGCGTTTTGAGCTCCAGAGTCGCTAAATGGGACTCGAACGGAACGTGTGACCCCACCAATGGATTCCTCGTTCGGAGAGCAAGAGAGACAGCCTCCACTGCATGGCGGTCGGCCCCCCTCTCTACCCGTCACACCAATGTCCCTTTGTTAATCAGGCTGACTTACTGGCCCTTGCTGGGGGTCCCCCGGGTCCTCATAAGTGTGCTTGTGTGTGTGTGTGTGTTGTGTGTGTGTGTGTGTGTGTCACGTCGTGGAGGGTAGGGTGTCAGGTGAAACAAGAGAGCGTCGCCTAACCTCACCTGGTCGTGTTTGTCGCGTAGTAATGATGGCCTGCGGCCTACTCTGTAAAAATTCCTGTTGAAAATTTCGTTCTTCGAATAGACCAGCAGAACTGGGGCGTATTTTTACGTGGTAGTGGTTTAGACGCAGTTTGAGCTACAGAGTCGATAAACAGGACTCGAACCTAACGTGTAACCCCACCAATGGATTGCTCTCCGAACGAGGAATCCACTGGTGGGGTCACACGTTCGGTTCGAGTCCCATGTAGCGACTCTGCTGCTCAAAACGCGTCCGCGGCTTTGGCCGCCTCCACCGGTACTGTGGGTCGGTCCCCGGAACCGAATTGAGACGTATTGGGGAGGGCTGGAGGCTCCAGCACCGCTCCAGCGGCGGCCAGCCTCGGCCTCCTCCGGGCTGGCGGGCCTGGCTGGCTGCCGTCTGACTCCGAACACTGCTTCGTCGCTCTGTCTCTCTCGCACCCTTACGGAACGCCCCATGAGTGCGAGAGAGACAGAGCGACGAAAGCAGTGCTCGGAATCAGACGGCTGGGCACCGCCGCACCGACCGGCACCACACCGACTCCGTCTCCACACGGCACCGGGCCGGGACGAGAAGAATGCATTGGCTGGACCACCCAGCGGCTCGAGCCCAGCCCAGCCCAAGGCAGCCCGGAGCAGGCGGCCCGAGCGCGCCGAGGTGGGGGCACGGACCTACGTATCAGGTGGTCTCGAGGGAGCCGAGCGGCAGCGGCCGCGGGGCCCTGGAGGACGCCCCTCCCCCTTTTTCTACCGACCGCAGCCCGCCGCCCGATCCACTCGCAGTGCAGTGGTGCAGTGTCAAGCCCGTGACCACCTGTCGACTGATTCCGAGGGCCGCCTTCGTCGCTCGGTCTCTCTCGCACTCGTGGGGCGTCCCGTATAGGTGCGAGAGAGACAGAGCGACGAAGGCGGCCCTCGGAATCAGTCGACTGTTGCCGCTCCCCGCGGCCGCCTCTCGGAGGAGAGAGGCCACGGAGAGGTCTACGAAATGGTGGAGGCGGCCAAAGCTCTAGACGCGTTTTGAGCTCCAGAGTCGCTAAACAGGACTCGAACCGAACGTGTGACCCCACCAATGGATTCCTCGTTCGGAGAGCAGTCCATTGGTGGGGTCACACGTTCGGTTCGAGTCCCATTCAGCGACTCTGGAGCTCAAAACGCGTCTTAAGTTTAAAATGTTCTTCCGGCGCAGCCTGGACACGCTTCGAAGGGAACCGAAGGACTGGACATCCTGTAGTGTAGTGGAAGGTCCTGGAAAGGACAGAGATATTGTCCTGCGGGACAGGGGGAAGGGGTTCGGGGTCACTGGATAGAGACAGATCCTCCTCGGGAGATTCCTCGGACATAAACACTCTGGTGTACATGTGTGTTTGAGGCCGGAGGTCTGGTACCAGTGCCGTGCCGTACAGTGCTCTGGCTTTATTGTGATTGGCCGGGCGGGCCGATCCCCTGGAACAAGCCTGCGCCAGCCTGGAACACTGGAAAGGGTTTATAGTCCCATTTGCATGAGTACAAGCCAAGCACGCTCCGTGCTTGACGGTTTCACTGACTGAAAAAAAGGACTGGAAAAGTACGTCAACAATTTGGCTGGACCGTCCCAGGAGACAAGACCGGTGGAGGCGGTGAAAATACAGGACGCGTTTTGAGCTCCAGAGTCGCAAAGCAGGTCGCAAACCGAACGTGTGACCCCCACCAATGGATTCCTCGTCCGGAGAGCAATCCATTGGTGGGGCCACACGTTCAGTTCGAGTCTCATCCAGCGACACTGCAGCTCAAAACGCGTCAAAATGCACGGTTGTTTTCAGTGTTGACGCACTTTGACGCCGTGAATTTTTTTATGGTCGGTTCCAGCTAGCGCTCGCTTAGGGTACTTCGATTTACGATGGTACTTGTCTGCCTCTCGTTGGCGCCAAAACGCGGCGCAGCTGGGTGGTCTCGAACCCGGGTCCTGCGGTTCGGAAAGCGCGCTCGCTGGCCACGCTGCTGCCGCGACTCCGACTTCCACGGAAATTTGGTTTCTGTTTGGTCCGCAGCAGCGCCCCGCCGCGTGGCCGCTCAAGGAACGTCGATAAATCTTTTGAATGAATGCTGCCTGCTGCATCGTGATGCGACCCTGACGCAGAGAGAGATAGAGAGAGAGACAGACAGACAGACAGACAGACAGACAGAGTGAAATACCCCTTTTTCCCGCGTTTTTTTTTCACCTTTACCCGCTGCGTTCGATAGCCAAGCCGATTGGGTGAGTCGTAGAATCCTCTTATAGTAGTGCAGTAGTTTAAAACTTCCCTCTCACCTCGTAGTAGTACAATCTTTTTTTAAAAAAATCACTTCTTTTCTTGCTGCATTTCCCACAAATCTCGGTCTTTGGGCTGGAGGAGGAGAAGGGGCAGAAGAAAGACTGGGCAACACTCTATCTCTCTCTCTCTCTCTCTCTCTCTCTCTCTCTCTCTCTCTCTCTCTCTCTCTCTCTCTCTCTCTCACACACACACACACACACTCCCCCGCCCCGTCAAGCGATTGTCCGAAGGCTAATGGTAATTAAGAAAGACCGTTTTTTATCCGCATTGGAACGGGCACGGCCATTGGGCGGCCATCGGCCGGTCAGCAATCATTGCGTCCCTCTCGCTCGCTCTAATGAAGACATTAGTCGGCCGTCGGTGCTCGTTGTACTCGTTGTCTCTTTCATTCATACACCGCCCTGGCGGTCGCGGGGCATTTCACTGGAAATTCCCTCGCCTTTTCGTTTTTGTTGTTGTTGTTTGCTGCTACTCGCTCTTGTTGTTGTTTTCCGAACGAGTCGCGGAGACTGTGCGCAGAGCGCCCAGAGCGCTTTAGCGGCGCGCCGTGGCGTAACGGTGCAGGATTTACGATATTCTTTTACACGTCGGCCGAGCCGGCCAGCCTGCTGCATGTGTGGCCTGCATGTGTACGGGTGCAAGAGAGAGAGAGAGAGAGAGAGAGAGAGAGAGAGAGAGGGAGAATTTTGAAGAATTTATAATCGTTGTTCGAGAACTTGGTGTATTTTTCAGAGAGAGAATTTTTAAGAATTTATACTTATTGTTTGAGAACTTGGTGAATTTTTCAGAGAGAGAGAGAGAGAGAGAGAGAGAGAGAGAGAGAGAGAGAGAGAGAGAGAGAGAGAGAGAGAGACTGACTGAGTTGGCAACTTGTTGCAGAGGGCGGCCGCCTGGAGAGAGAGCTGCGCTACTCGGCCGCGGCGCTGGGCGAGCAGAACGGCGCCACCCACCAGCTGGTCATCCAGACCCCCAAGGACCAGGGCGCCTCCATCCTGCACCCCAAGGCCCTGCAGGCCCACCTCAAGGTGCTGCAGGCCGCAACGCAGGTCACGGTGCACCTGTTTGACATGTGAGTACTGCTGCACTGCGAAAAAGGAGGAAAGTTTAACTTGATGGTTGCAGAAAGTTTGAGAAAAATCAGACCAAGTTTCGGCTCTAAAGTATTCTAAGTTTTGGCATTAAAGTAGACCAAATTTAGACATCAAAGTAGACCCAATTTTGACTTAAAATTACACGTAATTTCGGCATTAAAGAAAACCAAATTTTGGCATCAAAGTGGGCCCAATTTTGGCTTTAAAGTAAACCAAATTTCGGCATCAAAGTGAACCTCATTTCGGCTTCAAAGTAGACTAAAATTTGGCGTCAATGCAGACCAAAGTTTGGCGTGAAAGTACACCAAATTTTGTCGTTAAATTAGACCAAATTTTGTCGTTAAATTAGACCAAACTTTGTCGTTGAATTAGCCTAAATTTTGGTATGAGATTGCACTAAATATTGACCAAAAAACTGTCCTTTTCTGGTCACATGGACACCAATCGGCCTCTTTGTTGAGTGTTGCCCTTCCCTGTCCCCAGCACCTGGCGGCTCAAGGACATGTGCTACGCGCCCAGCGTGCCCAAGTTCGAGGAGCACTACATCGACCAGATCTTCGACGGCATCATCCCCTGCGCCATCGTGACGCCCCTGGACTGCTTCTGGGAGGGCTCCAAGCTGCTGGGGCCCGACTTCCCGGTCGTGATCCCCGGCCTGGGCACCAAGGTGCGCTGGACCAACCTCAACCCGCTCAAGCTCGTCGAGGACATGAAGCAGTTCTACTTCAACTTCGCCTTCTCCACGCTCGAGGACTACATGAAGAGGGTGAGCTTTCGATTCCAAATTAATTCCGATGTAGTTGCGGCACAGCAGCGCGCGGGCATATGCGAGTGCCGGGGGGGGAGGGGGGGGCGTCCCGGCTGCTGCGGCCACCCATGTCGCTGTGCTGGGCAAGCCCCCCCTCCCCCCTCTCTTCCTCCTGGCTGCTTCAAAGGCGTCCCGGCCGCCCCGCCCAACACGCCCCATCAGAAGCAGAGCCATCCCGTGATGGCCATCCCCTGCAAGTGCCGCAACAGCGCGCCAATTTGAGTCCCTAGATGGCGGCCACGGCGGCGGAGCGCCGGAATCTGGTATCCGGTGTCTGGACGCAGGCATAGCCTGCGGACTGATTCCAAGGGGCCGTTTTTCGTCGCTCTGTCTCTCTCGCACTCATGGGGCGTCCCGTATAGGTGCGAGAGAGAGAGAGCGACCTGCAGATCTTGGAACCGGGTTTTTCCCCCGGGGATTTTTGGCGTTTTCCGGCGAAGCTTTTCCGACTGCTGATGCAGGCTGCTGCCCCCGATGGTTCATTTCTTCGGTATAACTGTGTCTGATTTGGCCATCATCTATCCCGCAGGTCGCAAAGGCCCCCAATAACGACTGTGTCTGATTTGGCCGACCTAACCTAACCTGCGCCCAGTAATAACTTTGTCCGATTGTTGTTGCAGGCCGGTATCTCTACCGGGTACCAGGAGAAGCCCTGCCTCGACCCCTCCGACCCCGAGTGCCCCGCCACGGCCCCCAACAAGCGCTCCGGCATGGTGAGTACTGCCTATACTACTTACAAGTCAAAATGAAAGAAGAAAGAAAGGGGGCATAAATACTTTTGTCGTCATTATTTCGGAGATTAGTTTTATTATCGGGTCATTTAAATCGACGTGCTGATGGATGGGTGGTGGGCCTTGGCAGTGGGCCCGCCTTGGCAGTGAGGGATTATTGACGGGGCACCTTGAACCTCAACGCCATCATTCGGACACTCGTAAAAATAAAAGCAACCGCGGATTTTTTCCCATTTCCCCCACCACCACCACCTAATCGCAATTGTCGAAAGACACGTTGGGACTGGAGTTAAAATGTCCAGGTTAATTTGAGGTCCCTATTTTCATTTCAATTACACTAAATTCACTTTTTTTAAGCTAGAGGGTATTTCTAAAAATATTTTCGCATGGATAATGACAGCATCTGTCTGTGCAAACTTTTCATTCATTCCGCGGCGAAAATCATTCCTTTTGCATTGTTTCCGTTTAAATGCCCCAGTGAACAACAGTGCTGAGGTGGAGAGAGAGAGAGAAGGGGAGAGAGAGAGAGAGAGAGAGAGAGAAGAGTGTGTGTGTGTGCGAAGAGAGAAGGGGGCAGCCGGTGGTGGGGCGGGTCTGGCTGGCGCAGGCCCTTCTTCGGTGCGGCCGGGCTGCCGCTGTATCACATAATGTCTTCATCTCGTCGGCGAGGCGGGCGAGGCAGCAAGCACAGCAAGGCAGCCCCGCTCCGACGGGCCGAAGGGGCCGACCGGGCGCGACGCGGCGCGTAGCGTTCAGGCCGACCGGACCAGTCCTCTTCGCTTGTTAGCCGCCTCCTCCATTCCACTCGTCCTCTCTCTCTTTCTCTCCCTCTCCCTCTTTCTGTCCCTCTCTCTTCCCCTCTCTCCCTCTCTCTCTCTCTCTATCTCTCGCTCTCTCTCTCCCTCTCTCTCTCCCTCTCTCTCTCTCTCTCTCGCCGTCCCGTCCCGGCTGGCGCAGGCTGGGTGTGTGGCGCCTGCAGCCCGCCGGGTGGGTACTGGTGGGTACCCGCCGGCCCACCGAGATAAATCCAAAGGAATTGAGCCATTAACCAAGTTATGTTTATTTTGCCTACCGTAACCCAGGCGAGGCGAGGCGGCCACGCCGGAGACGGATTCCGAGAGTCGTCTCTCTCGCTCCTGTTAGGGACGCCGCATGAGTGCGAGAGAGACAGAGCGACGAAGACGACTCTCGGAATCAGTTTGCTGGGCGGGTCCTCGGGTACCGACGGCCGTCGGGTACCCACGGCGTGGGCACGGGCCCCTGCCGCCGCACAGTGGGCCAGAAGACCGGTGGAGGCGGCCAAAACTCAAGACGCGTTTTGAGCTGCAGAGTCGCTAAACAGGACTGGAACCGAACGTGTTACACCACCAATGGATTCCTCGTTCGGAGAGCAATCCATTGGGGCGACTCTGGAGCTCGAAACGCGTCTGGAGTTTTGGCCGCCCCCACCGGTCTCCTGGCCCACTGTGCGGCAGGTACTCCGGGTACCCCGAGTACCCCAGCGCACCGGATACGGCGTGTCCTGTCGGCCGCGGAGGCCTTGCCCGCCGTGATGGGCGCACCGGCCAGCCGGCCACGGCACGGCCACACGGACCGAGCAACGGGGTGGTCCCGGTGACGGACGGCCCGGCCGCCCGGGGACGGAGGGGAGGGGAGGGGCAGGGGCTCGGGATCCCAAGGGGACAGGATCGGGATCTCCTGCAGGAGGCGGGCGGTTTCCGAACAGTGTCGCGCTGTGTCTCTGGGATGCGATGCGGTTGCTCTCCGAACGAGGAATCCATTGGTGGGGTCACACGTTCGGTTCGAGTCCTGTTTAGCGACCCTGGAGCTCGAAACGCGGCTAGAGTTTTGGCCGCCGGCGCCGGTCTTGTGGCAAATCCACTGTAAGGACTCGGTGCGCAAGGTCGGGTTTTCTTCCCGGCGTGACGCGCGCGTGCAAGTCTCCAGCGCGCGCTGCCTGGGCCTGGCGTTGCCTCGCGTTGCCGCCCTGGAATGTTGTTGTCGGCGCGCGGCGCAGCGCGGCGTGGGTTGCGTAAAAGCGCGCCACGCCGGCGCTGTCTGTCTCCCTCGCACCCCTCCGGACCTCCGGGACGGCCCGCGAGTGCGAGGAGGACAGCGACACTGGCGCAGGTGCGGCCCGAATCGCAGTCGGCATCGAATTCGCGATCCTGCCTCGATTCTCCTCGCAGAGAAAGGGGCAGCGCGTCCCGTCGTCCCGTCTCTGTCGCACCCCTGCGGGCCCTGCGGGCGCCCCGTGAGTGCGAGAGAGACAGAGCGACGGAACCAGAGCGCCGCATTCGCTGCGTTGCATTCGGCGCGGCCGGCGGGGCGGGGAGAATCGCAGCTGCCGAGCGATTCACGCCGCTCTGTCTCTGTCGCACTCATGGGGCTCTCCGGTAGGGTGCGAGAGAGACGGAGCGAATGGCTCGCCTGAAAGGCACTGCACTGCAAGGACTGCCGGCCACCCTTAGCGACGTGGACCACCTTCTCGGCGGCGACGGCCTCGGCCGGGAAGGAATGCCGCCCTGCGCCACAGTGGGCCAGAAGACCGGTGGAGGCGGCCGAAATTCTAGAACCGTTTTGAGCTCCAGAGTCGCTGAATGGGACTCGAACCGAACGTGTGACCCCACCAATGGATTGCTCTCCGAACGAGGAATCCATTGGTGGGGTCACACGTCCGGTTCGAGTCCTGTTTAGTGACTCTGCAGCTCAAAACGCGTTTAGAGTTTTGGTGGTCGTGGCCTGGTCTTGCCGTTGCTTTTATTTTTACCTGCGGCTTGCTTGAATGGGGCGAAGGAGAGCGCGCGTGGTGTCCACTGGGAGTCCAGGGTGGCGCAGTGACGTCACGGCAGGTCACTCGCTCTGTCTCTCTCGCACCTGCCATGAGTGCGAGAGAGACAGAGCGACGAAAACGACTCTCGGAATCAGTCTGGCGAGGAAGGTCGGGCCGAGCCGAGCGGCCGCGCCGCCCGCTGGGCCTCAATCCCTCGTCTGAATAAGACGAAGAGCGAAGGGAGACGTTTATATGACTTTACCTACAGCAGGCATGCGGGCCGGGGAGGGGGGTCTTACCTGTGCCGTGCCTGCACTGCGGAAAGGGGGGGGGGCTCCTCCTCCTCCACTCCGATTGAGCCGTCTTCGTCTTCGTGAGCAAACGCTGCAGTCTGCAGCAAGCTGCGGGGTGCCCCATCCCGTCCCCATCGCTATGCGCGTGGCCGCGTGGCTTTTCCACGCGGACTGTACGCATCGCATTGAGCGATGGCGTTGTTTGAACCTTGAGTTGTGTGAGTGTTTCCACCACCGGCGGCGTGCGGAAAAAGTTCCTGGAATGGTGGCAGGCAGGGGCAGGACCCGAGGGGGGAGGGAGGGGGGGGTCAGCGATATGCAGATCAGGAGAGGCGACAGCTGACGCTCGCGTTGTGGGTGGCCCACACGTGGTGTGCGTCTGTTTGCTTTGTGTGTGCGTGTCTGTGCGAGTGCGCGTGTGTGTGTGTCTGAGGCCGGCAGGGCATTGGTGTAAGTGTACGCGCCGGATACGCATTTTCTGCACAAACCATAAAAGCACACGAACGACCCCCTCTCTCTCTCTCTCTCTCTCTCTCTCTCTCTCTCTCTCTCTCTCTCTCTCTCTCTCCCCCCCCCCCCGGTCCTCTCTAGATGGGCAAGGCTGGCAAGGCCACTCAAAGGACTCTGTCTGTCGTCGGCCAAATGTCTCAGCATTTTCGCCCGTTCGCCTCGAGAAATAATTACTACAGTGTCTCTTGTTCAATAACAGTGCAGAAGCATGCTGCTTTCGGAGGTGGGGCGGGGGTGTGGGGGGTAGGCTCGCTCGGTGGATAGAGTGACCTCTAGAGACTTAATAAGCCTTTTCAAAATTAAGCGTTACAATCTTGGAAATTTTTTACTCGGCTATTTTCTCCGAAAGGAGACCTCCGAGAGGACTGTTGACTTGCAAACCACTGCACAGTGGGCCAGAAGACCGGTGAAGGCGGCCAAAATTCCAGACGCGTTTTGAGCTCCAGAGTCGCTAAATGGGACTCGAATCGAACGTGTGACCCCACCAATGGATTCCTCGTTCGTAGAGCAATCCATTGATGGTCACACGTTCGGCTTGAGTCCCATTTAGCGACTCTGGAGCTCAAACCGCGTCTGCAGTTTTGTCCGCCTCCACCGGCCTTCTGGCCCACTGTGCGACGCGCAAACCACTGCGACTCTAAACGTCCCGTCCCTCGCTGTTGCAGGCCCCGGACATCGGCGGCGAGCTGACGGGCGGCTGCTACGGCTTCGCGGCCAACTACATGCACTGGCCGGAGGACCTGGTGGTGGGCGGCGCCAAGAAGAACAAGACGGGGCACATCCAGCGCGCCAAGGCCCTGCAGACCGTGATCCAGCTCATGGGGGAGCGCGAGCTGTTCGAGTACTGGAGCAAGACCTACAAGGTGCACCACGTGGACTGGACGCAGGAGAAGGCCGCCGTGGTCCTGGACGCTTGGCAGCGCCGCTTCTCGGACGAGGTCCGCAAGGCCATGAAGAAGGACCTGCGCGACCTTGGCGTGCCCTCGCCCTACAACGTGTTCGCCTTCTCCACGGCCACCCTCAACGACATCCTGGGCCAGTTCTCGGAGCTGAACCTGGTCAAGATCGCCATCGGTTACGTGCTCATGGTGAGTGGTGGATGACGTTTTGACGTTCTACTCTCAAATCAAGTTTCCTGTCATTTTGGTTTACGTTTAACTTTCAATTGTTTACATAAAAGTTTCCTATCACTTTGGTTTACGTTTTACTCTCAATTATTTACGTTCAAGTTTGGCCCTTTTTTAATCATTGCCACTCTAACCCTTGTTTTAAAATTTTGCAGCTGGTTTATGCGGGAGTGTCGCTGCTGAGGTGGCAGGACCCAGTGAGGTCACAAGCTGGTGTCGGCATCGCTGGAGTCATCCTGGTGTCCATTACAGTCGCAGCAGGCCTGGGCTTTTGCGCACTCCTGGGTATCGCTTTCAACGCCTCGACCACTCAAATAGTACCGTTCCTGGCTCTTGGCCTGGGAGTGGATGACATGTTCCTAATCACATCCTCCTATGCTGAGCAAGATTTATCCGATGTGAAACCTCATGTAAGTTTACCTCAAAAATCTCAATCGGTTGATTATGCTATTGGTGTGTTTATATTAGTTCTTCTAATTTATATGTGCATCATTTACAGGACCGCACAGGCACTGTACTGAAACGCACTGGTTTGAGTGTTCTCCTCACATCACTCAGCATCATGTGTGCCTTGTTCGCTGCTGCCATCATCCCCATCCCTGCCCTGCGAGTGTTCTCCTTGCAAGCAGCAGTGCTGGTCCTGTTCAACTTGGGTGCTATGCTGCTGGTTTTTCCTGCCATTGTCAGCCTGGACTTGCGGAGGCGAGCTTCTAAACGAGCTGACTTGCTATGCTGCGCTATGCCTAGCCCCAATGACGCAGAGGATGAAGAAAACCTTTGGCCCTGCTTTGCTGTGACCGTGCCTCCTCGACCACAGTACCAACATGCCAGGCTTACCCACACCCAGCAGCCTCGCAAGGTGCATACGAGAGCCTTACCTGCTGGCCGTCAACATTCAGCAGCAGAGACTGCAAAGCCAGCATCGCAGCAAGAATGCTGGGTTGGGTCTCAAAATGATTGCGTTGATGTCGAGAAAGGGGAGACTGACAGTTTGCAAGGCCAAGAATGCCAGCCATCAGACTGCTGGTCGCTGTCACTGACAGGCGTAGCGTCCAAATACTATGCACCTTTCATCACTCGGGCTTCCATCAAGGCCTTTGGAATGATTGGCTTCTGCATCGTGCTTGCTGCCAGCTTGTGGGGAGCGATGAAGGTCAACGATGGGCTGGAATTGACTGACATTGTCCCGCAGAACACAGATGAGCATGCATTTTTGTCGGCTCAGGGCCGGTACTTTGGTTTCTATTCCATGCACGCTGTTACTATGGGTGACTTTGAATACCCAACAAATCAAAAATTGTTGTTTGAATACCATGACGCTTACATGAGGATTCCTGCTGTCATAAAAAATGATGATGGTGGTTTACCTGACTTCTGGTTGAACATGTTCAGAGACTGGCTAATGGGTATGTGTCTTAGCAAATTGCATTATATTTCAAAAATCAATGTTTTAGGTAAAGCCAAATCTAATTTTATTTTTGTTTTCATTCAACAGGTCTCCAGAAAGCTTTTGACCGAGACTGGTCCCGTGGAAGCATCACTCAAGAAAGGTGGTTTTCGAATGCCTCTGATGAAGGTATTCTGGCCTATAAACTCCTAGTCCAGACAGGTCACGTGGACAATCCTATTGACAAGAGCCTAGTGACACAAGTGAGGCTTGTTGATGCTGATGGCATGATAAATGCCAAGGCCTTCTACAACTACCTCAGTGCATGGGCATCAAATGATGCTTTGGCATACGGTGCCAGTCAAGCTAATTTGCGGCCTGAGCCAAGACAGTGGTTCCATGCCGCTGATGACTATGAACTGAAGATCCCTAAGTCAGCACCATTAGTGTATGCCCAGATGCCATTCTACTTGCATGGCCTGGGTGACACCGAAAGCATCACTAAACTCATTGGCCAAGTGAGAACTTTGTGTGAAAGATTTGAAGAGAGGGGGTTGCCAAATTTCCCATCAGGAATCCCATTCCTGTTTTGGGAGCAGTACATTGGACTACGCTGGGCATTAGGACTTGCCCTTGCAAGTGCTCTTGGTGCTGTGTTTGTGGTACTTTCCATCCTGCTGCTCAACTTATGGGCAGCAGTTTTGGTCAGCATCACTTTGGCTGGAATGGTGCTGCAACTGCTTGGATTGATGGGAATACTCGGAGTCAAACTCAGCGCAGTTCCTGCTGTCCTGCTCATCGTGGCGGTGGGAATGGGTGTGCATTTCAGCGTTCACATTTGTTTGGGCTTTGTCACAAGCATCGGGGGACGTGACAGACGCACAAGGCTGGCCATAGAGCAAATGTTTGCTCCGGTGGTCCATGGAGCCTTAACAACACTCTTAGCAGTGTCCATGTTGGCGTTTTCAGAATTTGACTTCATTGTAAGGTAAGAAAATATTTTTGATCTGAAATGATAATTTTCTGCTACAATATTTATGCATTTTCAGTGGTTGAAAATATTCTTATTTCTCTTTCAGATATTTCTTCTATGTGCTCTTGGCACTGATCGCCGTGGGGTTAATCAATGGTCTAGTCTTCTTCCCAATTTTATTATCCCTGATTGGCCCTGCTGCTGAAGTTGTTCCATACGAGTTCCCAGATAGAATCTCAACGCCATCACCTGAGCCCTCTCCAGTCCAAGTGCGAGCAGGGTCTTGCCGTGTAGGAAGAGCTCCTCCTTCTCATTCCTCGAGAAGAAGTCGAGAAGCATGCAGCAGAATCCATGCAGAGCCTTCCCTCACGACTATCACAGAAGAGCCAGGCTCTTGTCATTCTGCTCATGAGACCATTGTTATGCAGCCAGAGCTAGTTCTTGAAACCACAACAACCACCACTCATAACAATGGCAATGTACGTGTAGAGATTTACCTTATTGAAGCAATCCAAACCTACATCGGAATGAGAGATAGTAATTTGTTTTAATATCATTTTGCAGGGAGGCAGTGGTAGTGAAACAAACTCATCAGCTAGGTCAAGTCCTGCACCTGGCTACCAGGTTACCAAAGTAACAACAACTGCTAAAGTTAAAGTGGAATTACACACTCCTCTAACAAGTAAGTGTTGTGTTCTTGCCACTTAAGTTCAATTGCTGTTTTTATTTTTTGAATTTATTTCTAAGATGACATTTTTTTGTTTAACAGGTTCAGTTGAACGTTGTGAATCAAGAAGATCATCTAGAAGTCGATATAGCAGATCAGAATCCCGCTCTGGTTCCAGCTCAGGCTCAGGATCTGACTCCTGTGATGGGTCTGGTCGACTTTCATAGTATTATAGGTGTATTTGTTTTAATAAGCAAACTTTTATGCCATTTATTCTCTGTAATAGGATAGTGAATTAATGGCTTTAATTAATTTTGATCTGTACCTGTCAATTACATTTTAAAAATCTTTGTTACTTATTTGTGTAGGAAGTTGTTTGCAGCAATAAGCCCTTCAAATGTGATAACAGATGCACAGTTAGGTTTTAATTTTTGAGGGGGGAAGTGGGAGGGGGAGGGGAGGGAAAGCTGAAGCAAGGAAATAAATTATGTTTGGCCACTCAGAAGAAGGCAACTTTATCTGTGTCTCAAATCATGTGTTAATCGAAGTCATTGTATTTGCACATAAATGTGCTCTGAGCATAATAAGTACCATGACACAAAATGTCTAGTCACTGGGCTGTATTTTGACTGTGAAGAACTGTACTTAATAAGCCCAGTGCTTGTAGCCAGAGCTGCAGCTTGGACTATTGGGGATTATTTAATGCGGGTTATTAGTGACAATGGATTCAAGTCCTGCATTTATGTAGTCAATATGTTTGCCTGTAGTTATGCTAATAGATAAGGCAAGACGGTTGTGCTCTTATAATCATGTGAAATGGGACAGACTTGTAACCCTTGAAAAGACTTTTTGATTTTAGTGGCTTTTTGTTTTGCAAAGACTTGCTTTGCGGTTGATTTTCGACAAGAGTCAATACAGTCATATGATTGTACTGTCGAACCTGAACCAGCTACTTAATAGACACCAGTTACCGGTAGTTTCTTTATGTTTTAAAGCTTTCAATATTCAAGATAATTATATATTTATACATATGGTATTTTCTGTACATATATTTATATAGTGTATACATCTTTAAGTCAATGAAATTATTCAATTGTAATGTAAAACATATAAGTTATTTTTGTTTTAAATAATGATACTAGTTCTGTAAATGTGTATTGATGTACGAACTGTACCCAGTGTATACAAGCAAAGAAAGAACTGATTGTTGTGTCTATATGTGTGTAAAATTTGTTTCAAATATGTTGATAAATCATAATTTTGCAATTGGTGCAGTTTCTAATGGTGTGCATGAAGCTTGTTACATTGTAAAAGACATTATGACTAATTTATCATTGACTGTATAATTCTTACTTGTTAAAATGTTGTCTATAACAATTGTGCCAAAGATTGTGTTTTCATTTTATGTTGATTCATGTACATCTAACAGCTGACTCGTTTTATTTATTTTTGAATGGTTGAGGACACAGATATCCTACATGTCTGGGTTTCAGTTTATAATTTGTATTTTTTATGATTTTATGGAACTAGTCGAACAGGCAAAAGAGTTAGAAATCACTGTCAAAATCCTCTAATAGAATCATCAATTCAATCATTGTACAAAGAACATAGACTTCACTGCAGAAATGCAAATTGTAATTTTAAAATATATTGTAAATATGAAATGTACTGTGAAATAAATTTGAAAGTCGGTAATTAATTTTCCTATCAAGGTTCAATTATTTGATTCTTCTGCTGCCCCTATCCAGCACTATCAAAAGTCCTTACTGTTCGGGCAAAATGCTGAGTTCTTGTTTTGCACGTACAATAAAAGTACAACAGGGATTGTAGATAGTACAACGAGAATTGTACAAACCACAACGAGCTCTGGACTGCACAGCTTTCGTCATGCCGGTTCCATTGTACTTTGTACAACAATTATTGTACTTGAAAAGTACACTAAATTCCCGATAAAAAATTTGCCAGAAATTTGTGTACTTTTGTTGTGGTTATTTCCTGCAGTGTGGTCGCCGCCCCCTCCGCCTCCGCTGCGACGTCGTGGTCGGGTTTCTCGGGCATCTCGAAGGTCTCGATGGTCCCGAACAGACGCCAGACCGCCAAGAATCCATTTTTCCGCACAACGAACTGTCCTGATCCTCAGTCCATCCGTGCAGAAAAATGTGATCCTGGCGGCGATTGAGGTCTCGGTCGGGTCCCGGCGTGGACGGCGCGGTGATGTGATGCAGTCGGTCCAGCCCAGAGTCCCGGACGGTCCTGGACCTGTGGAGATCCAGGACTCTGGGCGTTCCCTGCGCTCTGCTGTGGCCCTGCTGACTTTGCTGCTGCGCACGAGGCTGCGCAGCGCTAGGGATGCAAACATTGATGGCCTGCCACTCCACAGTGGGCCAGAAAACCGTACTTACAGGTGGATTGTGTGGCGAATTGCCTACCTATCAGGCGTTTTGGGCCAAAGGCGCGCAAAAAAAAAAAGAAAAGCACAAAAAGGCCCCGCCGCTGCACGTGTGCCGTGCGCTGCCTCGGCGCTGCCGTGCCGGATGGCCATCGTGGCTGCGGTGCCTGCACTGGGAGCACGGCCGGAAGACCGGAAGTACCCGTTTCCTGTCCGCGGGGAGCGGGCCGCGGCGTGCTGGGACCAACACACCGGGCACACCGCACAGTGGGCCAGAGGACCGGCGGAGGCGGCCAAAACTCTAGACGCGTTTTGAGCTCCAGAGTCGCTAAACAGGACTCGAACCGAGCGTGTGACCCCAGCAATGGATTCCTCGTTCGGAGAGCAATCCATTGGTGGGGTCACACGTTCGGTTCGAGCCCCATTCAGTGACTCTGGAGCGTATGAAAATCGTGCAAAAAGTTCATTAGTAACTGTGATGTCTCGTAAAAAAATTTACAGAACAGAGTGAAGAGCCCTGCCGTTTCGCTCCATGATTTTGAAACATGTTCCCTTCTTTTTTTTTACAAAAAAAAGTGTGAGCTTGGACTACTTCCGGACGGGTCCAGCCGGGTCCAGCCGAGCGCCGCATGGGTGATTCTTCCGGTGAGGTGGCCCACAATGCCCCCCCTCCCGGTTCCTCCCGTGCAGCCACGCCTTAATTTTCATCATTAACAAGGCCACTGCAAACAGCGCCCCCACTGGCAAGCCGACGAACCGCCAGTCGCGATACTCCATGTTTGCAAGCGAAAACATTTAAAGTCTCTCGCGCACGGAGTACCGCTAGTCGCTCAAAGAAACGTGCCCCGCGATACTCCATGTTCCGTTGCGAAGGGACACAACCCTTGCGGCCAGCACTAAAAGTCCCTCGCGCACGGAGTACCGCTAGTCGCTCAAAGAAACGTGCCCCGCTATACTCCATGTTCCGTTGCGAAGAGACACAACCCTTGCGGCCAGCACTAAAAGACTCTCGCGCGAGGAGTATTGAGGCTAGCTTCATTCGACAGTGGATCTACATCGCGGCCAGCGTTTGCACGAGACCCTCCCGTACTCACCTGTGACCGTCGCTTGTTCTGGATTCAGCTTGGTGACCCGATTGTTCGACGCACTGCCTTTTACGGAGAAAACGAAGGCATTGCAAAACACGAAGCAATGCATCGCAATGCCTTCCGTTTTCTATCGTCGATAATATCATTTTCACACCGCAGCTCAGAGGGCCAGAAGACCAGTGGAGGCGGCGAAAACTTTGGACGCGTTTTGAGCTCCAGAGTCGCTGAACAGGACTCGAACAGAAAGTGCGACCCCACCAATGGATTCCTCGTTCGGAGAGCAATCCATTGGTGGGGTCACACGTTCGGTTCGAGTCCCATTTAGCCACTCTGGAGCTCAAAACGCGTCTGGAATTTTGGCCACCTCCACCGGTCTTCTGGCCCACTGTGCAGAGGGACCGAAGAGTGGCTGGAGGCTTCGCTAGTGCGGCTGGAACTGAAGTCCGGAGTCCGCCCAGCGCACCTGTATTTATAAGCTAGGCCTGGCGGTGGGGTGGCTGTTTTCTCTGTTCCTCTATCTCTGTCTCTCTCTCACACACTCACTGTCCACGTCCTGCCGCGTTCCCTGCTCCGCTTGGCTCCGCTGCGCTTTGGTCCACTGAGTCCCGCTGCGCGCACCGATCTGCCCCCTTCCCCCAGTCCGTCTGTCTGCCTGCCTGTCTGTCTGTCTGTCTGCCTGTCTGTCTGCATGTCAGTCTGCCGCTATGCATGGTACATGTCATACGCTGCGAATCCAACGGCTTGGTGTCAAAGTGCTTCCCATCCCACCGAGCCCGGTCCTTAGTGGAGGAGGTCAAAATCTCAGACGCACTTTGAGCTCCAGAGTCGCTAAATGGGACTCGAACCGAACGTGTGACCCCACCAATGGATTCCTCGCTCAGAGAGCAATCCATTGGTGGGGTCATACGTTCAGTTCGAGTCCTGTTTAGCGACTCGAGGGCCCAAAACTCGTTCGGCCCGAGCGGCCGGCTTGACTCTCGGGGGCTCGAGCCCCTTAAGACGGAGGGTAGGCCACGCGCTCCACGCGGCTGCCGCGGTGCTGCCTACCCAGTGTCTCGCGGGCGTCTCGAGGCGGCAGGCGGATTCAGCGCTGTTATCGCTCTCTCTCTCTCTCTCTCTCTCTCTCTCTCTCTCTCTCTCTCTCTCTCTCTCTCTCTCTCTCTCTCTCTCTCTCTCTCTCTCTCTCTCTCTCTCTCTTTCACTCTCTCAGACAAGCGAATGCGTGTGAAGGTTAGGTTATCCAGGTCACGTGTCGTGAGCGGGCGCTTCAAAACGGGGCGACACCCTACGGGTCAGCTTACAGTGCAGGGGAGCGCTGCAGTTCGATATTCGTGATTCAATTAAAAGCGGACAGGGGGAACAAAAATTCAAAAAAAATAATACTAAAAAGCATAAAATGTACTATCGGACAGGAATGCGGTTCGGTCCTGCCGGAAGTGAGGTGGCGATGGGTATCTCACGCGACCGGCCGCGCGATTCTGGAGACCCGTTCCGTCGCTCTGTCTCTCTCGCACCCCTAGGGCACGGCCCGCGAGTGCGACAGAGACAGAGCGACGAAAACGACTCTCCGGAATCAGCCTGCAGGGACCACCCTGCGCCATTGTCTAGGCACGAGATGTTGGTACACGAGTCAGTGGCGTGCCCGACACGCTCGCTCTGTCTCTCTCGCACCCCTAGGGCCAACCCAAGAGTGCGAGAGAGACAGCCAAACGCCTGCAGCCTCAGCCCGGTGCAGCCCGATGCCATCGTGGATGCCGCCGCAGAGTGGGCCAGAAGAACGGTGGAGGCGGCCAAAACTCGGGACGCGTTTTGAGCTCCAGAGTCGCTAAATGTGTCTCGAACCGAACGTGTGACCCCACCAATGGATTGCTCTCCGAACGAGGAACCCATTGGTGGGGTCACACGTTCGGTCCGAGACCTGCTGAGCGACTCTGGAGCTCAAAACGCGTGTAGAGTTTTTGCCGCCACCATCGGTCTTCTGGCCCACTCTACGCCGGCCAGCAGACTTGATTCCGAAAGTCGTTTTCGACTTTTCGACAGAATCCAGGAACGCGATGGCGATACTGGTTTGAGCTTCAGAGGCCGTGTCCGGTTACAAACAGCATCACGTGTTTTTAATAGCGATTTCTTTAAAAAGTAACTCGTAAAAAGTACATTCGCGTCGGGGCTGGGTCACGCTGTCGGCTGATTCCGCACAGCGCTCTGTCTCTCTCGCACCCGTACGGGACGCCCGACGCACAGTGGGCCAGAAGACTGGTGGAGGCGTCCAAAACTCTAGACGCGTTTTGAGCTCCAGAGCCGCTAAGCAGGACTCGAACCGGACGTGTGACCCCACCAATGGAATCCTCGTTCGGAGAGCAATCCATTGGTGGGGTCGCACGTTCGGTTCGAGTCCCATTTAGCGACTCTGGGGCTCAAAACGCGTCTGGAGTTCGGCCGCTTCCACCGGTCTTCTGGCCCACTGTGCGACGAGGGGGAGGGAGACAGAGCGACTGGTCACGCTGTGGACAGCGCGCGGCTCGCTGGCGCCCTGGCGTCCGGACCCTCCGCCCTCAGCTTGGCGAGTCGGTGCTGGTCCACGCACTCGGAGAAGTCCCGCATCTGCGCGCCGCAGTCCAGCGGCCGGCCGGGCCGCGCCGACAGGCACTGCGCCACCGCCTGGCCGCGGTCCGCGCACGCCGGCCTGGAGGGCAGCCAATCGCACAGGGGATTCGCCGGGCCGCCAAAACTCCAGACGCGTTTTGAGCTCCAGAGTCGCTAAACGGGAGTCGAACCGAACGTGTGACCCCACCAATGGATTGCTCTCCGAACGAGGAGTCCATTGGTGGGGTCACACGTTCGGTTCGAGTCCCTGGAGCTCAGCACGCGTCCGGGATTTCGGCCGCCTCCACCGGTCCTCTGGCCCACTGTGCGCCCCATGAGTGCGAGAGAGACAGAGCGCCGCTGACTGAAATCACCTGCCGCCGACGTACTTCTGGAACGTGGTGGCGACGCGGGACCGCGCTCTGTCCTCCTCGCACTTGAGGACGCGGTCCACCTCCCGCTGCTGCCGCAGCACGTCCTTCTCGCGCTCGCTCCAGAAGTCGCCCTCGGCGGACCGTCCCTGCGCGCAGCCGAGAGGCGCGTTTTGGGCTCCAGAGTCGCTAAACGGGCCTCGAACCGAACGTGTGACCCCACCAATGGATTGCTCTCCGAAAGAGGAGTCCATTGGTGGGGTCACACGCTCGGTTCGAGTCCCGTTTAGTGACTCTGGGGCGCAGAACGCGAATTTTCACCGCCTCCACCGAAATTTTGGCCCACGTGGCCGATGTGCCGCTGGTTCAAACACCGCAACGTTTTTTTTTGGTTTTTTTTTCTTTTAGCAAAAACTGGCGGTGCTAGTTTGTGGCAGCCGGCGGGCAGGTCACCTCGCAGCGGCCGCAGTCCGTCCCCGCCGCATCCAGGTACACGCAGGGCGGTCCCGGGGGCCGGCAGCTGGCCTCGACGCTGGCCTCGGCGGGGACGTACGAGGCCAGGGCCACCAGGTCGGGCTGGCAGTTCTCCACCTCCAGCACCCTCGTCGACGATCCCGACCAGCCAAGCCCCACTGTACAGTGGCCCAGAAGACCGGTGGAGGCGGTCAAAATCCCGGACGCGTTTTGAGCTCCAGCGTCGCTGACTGGGACTCGAACCGAACGTGTGACCCCACCAATGGATTGCTCTTCGAACGAGAAATCCATTGGTCGGGTCACACGCTCGATTCGAGTCCTGTTTGGTGACTCTAGAGCTCAAAACGCGTCTAGAGTTTTGGCCGCCGACGCCGGTCTTCTGGCCCACTGTGCGCGCGGGTGCAAGAGAGACAGAGCGGTGCAAACCAGGCCTGCTGTGTGGGGGATCTAGTTGGCAGCACGTCGTTTACTCACTGCTGCACGCCGGGCTACGCCGGGCCGGCTATCGGGGCATCTCACGCTCTTCCGGGCAAGCGGTATCTGACGAACGAGAGGGAATTTTTTGGTTTATTTATTTCGTGTTTGGAAACGGTGCGGGCGAGGAGGCAACTCGAATCAAACGTGTAACCCCATCGATGGATTCCTCGTTTGAAGAGCAATCCATTGATGGGGTCGCACGTTTGGTTCGAGGCCCATTTAGCGACTCTGGAGCTGAAAACGCGTCCGGGATTTTGGCCGCCTCCACCGGTCTTCTGGCCCAATGTGGGACGCACCAAGGGACACAAGAGGTCGCGGCTCGATGGCCCCAGCCCCAGCCGCAGTCGTCCGATGTGGGCGATCAGGGACGTTCTTTGCCGGAGATACGAATCGCCCCCCTCCGCACCAACAATGCGCCCCCACACTGGCCTCAATAATGGGCTGCGCGGGCGGGGATGCACAGTGGGCCAGAAGACCGGTGGAGGCGGCCAAAATCCCGGACGCGTTTTGAGCTCCAGAGTCGCTAAATGGGACTCGAACCGAGCTTGTGACCCCACCAATGGATTGCTCTCCGCCCTGCGAGTGCGACTGAGAGTGGAAAAGGACGTTGTTGAAGGGTCTGCGTGTCGTGCCAAGAGGCCATCAAGTGGAACCTCAACCTTGGCACGGTGTGGGTGGCATGGATATGCGGTGTCTCTCCCTTTTATCTACTCCTCCCCCTCCCCCTCCCCCTTTTTCTGGTGCAGCACTCCCCCAGCGAGTCACGCGAAGTCGGTCGTTACCTCACGTTACTGTCACTAAAACACGGGGGGCGGGTATGAGAGGCCAACACCCCTCCCCATCCCCCATCACCTCGCTTTCTTGAACAAATAAAAGACGGCTGTAAAGATTACAACTTTGTTTTTTTAGAAAGGCAAAAGTACTGCGGACCGCGGCGGACCGTCCATCCAGTCGGGACTGATTAAAATCCACAAGAGCCCCTCCCCCTACAAAACCCTTCACACTGAAGTTCGGCAGGCCGACAGAGTCCAAGGACGCGGGGAGCGGTCGAACTTCCCTCGGCTCGGCAGTCCAGTGCAGTGTGTTGGTTGGTCAAGCGGGATGTCGAGTCCAGTGCCCAGTCCAGCCCAGTCTCGTCTGTGGCGCTCTCGAGGGTGGAGAGGGAGAGAGTGAGCCGCACTCTGAACCCTCAGCTCGTTCCGTCGCTGTCGGCACACTCGTGGGGTGTCCTGTACGCTACCGCCGGCTACCGCAAGCCCACGAGAGAGACAGAGCGACGACGCGATCAACGCGACTCTTCGCGTAAAGTGAGAGACGGGGGGTACTCACAGAGGGCAGGGCCAGAAGACCGGTGGAGGCGATCAAAATCCAGGACGGGTTTTCAACTAAAATGGGGCTCGAACCGAACGTGCGACCCCTCCAATGGATAGCCCTCCAAACGAGCAATCCATTGGTGGGGTCACACGTTCGGTCAGAGTCCTTTTCGGCGACTCTGGAGCTCAAAACGCGTGTAGAGTTTTGGCCGCCGGCGCCGGTCTTCTGGCAAATCCACTGTGGGACGGCGCCGCGGCAGTTTGAACTCCCCGCGGCTTCGCGCGCTTCGCGCGCTGCCAGGCTGGGCCTCTGGGCGCCGCAGCGGCGCAGCGCTTTGCTGACTTGGACACGGCGCAACTCACCTCCGCGACTCCCTGCCAGTGCAGTGGATTCGCGGTCGCGGCATGGAGAGGCCACGCCACCGTAAGTAGACCCTGCTCCTCCGTGTGGCATTCCCTGAGCAGCCGACCCGGCCGGCGACACCTGTCCCGTCTCACCTGAGCTAACTAGAGGCACCTGACGCCGCGAGTGGCTCACCTGGCGCACCTGAGCTTCGGGCCAGGGCGAGGGGCGAGGGGCGAGGGGCGGGCGACGGCGACGCTCCAGTCTTGCAGTGTACTCTCCAGTCTCGCTGAAGCCGCATCTTCCTCGGCAGCTGTTTTCTGCTTGTTGTTGTCTTGTCGTTGCAGCTAGGGGTCATTCCCCCGGGGAGGAGGCCCCGGTGCACCCCACTGCATAACATGGAGGCCAAGGCGGAGGCTGGAGACGGCGCTCAGGAAAATGTCGTGGTAAGGACGCGAACCTTTCTCAGTGTAGGAACGGAAACAGCGAAGCAGCTGACGACCTCTCCCTTCGCTGGGGTCAGCGACATGACATTGTTTCGTTATAAACGCAAAGGAGACACTGTTTTGAAAATGTGTTGTCAAATAAGCTTCCTATTAAAAATGTTATTATTTTTTGTAATAACGTATTTTAGTTGAATGGTTGATTCAGTAGGTTAGACTTATTTGTTTCTTTTATATGTGAGGATGTTATATTTTAGTTTTGTGTGGGTCTTGTGTGTCTTCATCTTTTAATTTAATCCCGTTATATTTTCTGCAGCCTTCTACTGAATCTCCTTACCAAAGTAGAAGCCAACTGGACCCACGATACGAATGCCCAATATGTCTGGCCTGTTTGAAAGAGCCTGTTTTAACGTCATGTGGTCATAGATTTTGCAAGGAATGCATTTACATGTGGCTCAAGTAAGATGCGCTATTTTTTGTTAAAATGTGCTGACACGAAGTTTGGACAAGTACTGAGAAATTTCTTGTTTGGGATTTCAGGCGAGAGGGCAGCTGCTGTCCCATTGATAACAGGCCTCTTACAGCGGACTCGGATCTCTTTGTTGACAACTTTACCCGAAGAGAAATTGAGCAAACCCGTCTGGAATGCCCACATGTTGGCAATGGGTGCAATGTTGTGTTGCCTCCTATTGAACTGGAAAACCATATTCCAAACTGTTCATATCAAGTGAGTTGCCATGAATCCGTATATTTGAATAGTTTGACTCACTCATCAACAACGCTTTATCTTGCCATTCTCTCTTGATTAATTTAGCGCACTGGATCGGGACACAATTCATTGCACTGTTCCTTTGAGAATGTTGGATGTCGAACAACAATAAGTAGTGCTGATCAGCTAGCATCCCATCTTGAGTCAAATTTACATCAACATTTAAATGTAAGTCTACAATACCATGATTCTTCCCTCTGGTTTCTAGCCAAAACTAATTTCCTGATTTTCCTGATTTTGAAAAAAATTACAGCTATTATCTATGGCCTATGCTAAGTTAATGACCAGTGCAAAACCCAGTACAATGGACGCGAAAGCAGAGGAGGCCAATACTCTGTGGGACCCACAGCCCAAAGGCAGTGGCTCTACTGGCTCCACTGCAGCAACTGCTGGTGACTCTAATGCTGGAGGCACACACTGGAGAGAACTCATCAGGTAATTTTGGCCCTCTCTGCAGGTTCCTTGCATTATCCACAACTTCTCAAATTAACTTATCTTCTCTTTTGTTTTCATTAAAACTGTAGAGCCTTGTACGAAAGAGTTGTCTTGCTAGAACAAAAGGGGCATGAACAGACCATAGAGATGAACGTTGTGAAGCAACAGCTAGAAAAGAGCAATGCACGTCTGGAGAGAGTGAGACATGAATTAGCAACCATTCACTGCGGAGGTACTTACGTGTGGAGAGTACCTAATTTCAGAGAAAAGCTTGCAGCAATGAAGAATGATCCCCTTATAATGCACTACAGCCCTGGCTTCTTCACATCCCAATATGGGTACAGGTAAGAAAAACAAAATTGTGTTCTTGTACTTTAGTTAGTTCAGTGGCTTTTAGATATTGGAGTGGTATATTTATCTGATTTTCAGATTTTGTCTGCGGTTAAATTTATCGGCAAAAGACAGAAGCCACTTGGCTGTCCTGATCCACCTCATGAGAAGTGAAAATGATGTCACACTGGATTGGCCGTTCTCAGGCCGCATTTCCTTTAAGTTGATTCATCCTACTGATCCCCAGCGTCACCTTAAAGAGACCATGATGTCTCGACCTGAACTGGAGGCTTTTAGACGACCTCGCCATGAGCTTTGTCCTAGAGGCTTTGGTTACACTGAATTTGTGAAAGTGTCAGATTTGCTCAGTATTGGCTTTTTAGGTGAAACTGATACTTTAGTTTTAAGGGTGCAGGTGCTGTGTGTGTAAGAATGATTTCTGAACCATGAATTTTGGAAAGCTTGGTACTTATGTCAAGTAGTGTGTTTCATTTATCTGTGATTTATTCAAACTTGTGAAGATCAACGAAGGAAAGGGAACATCTTTCCAATAAAAAAGTAAAATTTTTGTTCAAACTTGTTTATTGGCATTGAAGATATGAATTGGCTTTTCCCATACACTTAAATTAAAGCATATACAGAAATTCTTCCTTTGTTGCTTATAGTAAATTTGATTGGAAAACACGTGCCAGCATTGATCTTTCAAAAGTGAGACATATTTATTTTTTTAAACATTAATTTTAATACATGCAAAAAAAAGTTGTTAAAATTGAACAAAACAAAGTGCAACGCCAATCTTTTCACACAGAGTACTTATTAACAAGAACAAGGACTACAAAGAGGCATTGGATCTGACCATTTAATTCTACACTGACTACGCTACTAACACATATATTTAAGAGTATAATTAATAGACATTTAAATAAAGGATGATTCTCAAAAATTTGTTAAGTGAATGGCAGAACAGTTAAACTTACAGAACAGTTTAACTTGAACTGGCACAGGCAGAAATAAATTGAAAATGATCAGAGTGATAGCTTATGCACTCTCATATACAAGAATTATTGACAAAATTGTAATAATTTATCTTGAATGAAGATACAAAAACTTCCAATTTCCATTGCACTATCATAATCTGCTTTAACTAGAAGTGTGCTTGTTAAGAAATGATAAGGGTTGGTGAATTGACAGAAACACAGTTCGTAATTTAATGTAGACTTCACAAGAGAGAAGCTATTAGGAAAGAATACATTTTCATTACTATGACAGAACACTAAGAATTAAATTCAGGTGATTTGGTTCATAATTCAATGGTTCTCAGACCAACTCAGACAGAAGTATTTCCCTTGAAAGTTGCTACAATGACAAGCCTTGCCTTTCACAATTTTGTGGAAATTTGATAAAATGAAGTATAATGAGAAAGTGGCACTGCTATGGGTCAATCAAACCTAAAGGCTATAGTTACAGGGAAAGTCTGTACAATGAGAATGAGTGTTGTTTACATTTATTGATGAGGGGTAAAGTGAGGCAAAGATATGCCATTACAAAGACATGAAGCATGATGGTAACATAAGTGCAACATATATCGACATTCAGGCAGATCTAACAGCACTCCATACACAATAGTTCTTTTCATTTGCACTATAAGGTGGTAGGAAGTAAATCTTTACATTTGAGACACCCATTCAACATAGGAAAATCTACATTCAGTTCTGCCCCACGTTGTATTCACAGTGTTTGCTGCAACAAACAACAGAGATGAAAAATAAAAATGGAAATGTTGAAGTTGCAGCAATTATCACAATCGTCTTTACAAAGTGCAGTGCATAAACCAACAGGATAAAAAGAGGCTTTAAGCTCAGGTACAATATACCCTGGAAAGTTCAGCATTAGCCGAAGAACGTAGGCAAGGCAACGCTGAAAACAGAGAGTGATGCCAAAGTGGCATATTGATTAACGCTTTTTCAAAGAAAACAGGATTAAGTCAAACAAAACCTCCACATGCACTACACTTGAATAAAGATTTGAGGGGATACTTGTGCACAATTATGTATGCCACCAAAACTGATTACATTGCTAGCTAAGACCTTTCAACACTACTGCAGTCTTCATAAATTGTCTAGCAGTAAAATATAACAGCTAGTAATGTAATCAATTTTTGAAAGTCTTTTCTTTTTTTTGTGGCATGAATGGGGGTCTCAGCACTTCTCCATTAAGATGGAATTCACTCACACATTACACATCACCCGGTTGGTGCAGGTACTTGCTTACAATTAAAGTACATTCAATTTTTGACTGAAGAAAAGAAATCACAAAATCTTATAATAAAATAATAGATACCATTATTAAAAACTATTAAACCTGATGTTTCTTGGAATGACTGACCAGGAGTTGGCAGATATAATATGAAATAACATTTCCATCTATTCAATTTGTTTTTCTTTTTTTAAAACCATACCGAATGGCACATTCCACAATGACACGAGCTTGGTCTGAACAATAAGCAGCTGACCCACAAATTCAGAATATGGACTACTCAGGTTCAAAAGAGGGCCTTCAATAAAGAGCATTTGAATGATAAATTGTCATCAAAAATTAATTAATGTAGAAGATTGTGCCGTTTATCAGTTCAGAGAGTAATGACGTTTAACACTCCTAAACAGGCATAAGGAAAAATCAACCCAAAGCCTAGGAAACCCTGTTCTGATTAACATTCTTGCCTAAGATGTAAATACGTTCTGATAATGAATTCAGTGGTTGGCCAGAGACAATCCACATCAAAATAAAAAACTTTTCATTCACAAAACTGTGCCAAGGCATCTTTGAATCAGAGCCAGGCGAGGAGCATTACTAATCGATAATCAGTCATCAACAACTCCTATGAATGAAAGGATACAACACTTCTGCCAGTCCTAAATGCTGGTGTCAGCATACACAAGACCTGGTCCAAAGCCTCGCTTCTCTTTACATACTCTGCATTAGCATATAATGAGAGGTATACACATATCTACAGCAAGCACATTTTCACAAAACCCATAATCCAATTAAAGTGATGTACAGCACATTATTTAAGGGATGGTTCGAGCTCATCGGCTCCAGTCATTTAAAATTAAGAGAAAAAAACTCTGAGAGGAATAATACTGGTGACAGTTGCTGTTGGTTGGAGCAGGCAAGAGAAAACTTAGATATTCATATACTTGCCAATTAGACATTCACAGAAGCACAGACATGTCAATTAATTATGAAACCAGTAAAGTATGAAACAAAGAAGAAAATGTAAGGATTTAAAATTGCATGCAGCTATGTAGGTACACATCCATTTAAAATTCTACAACACACAACAGCTTATGATATATAATAATATTTATGTATACATACAGCTCTATGGTACAATTAAATAAAGCTCCACCAATGAAACTGAATAAAACAGGGAATCATAAAAATCCAATGCTCTAATTTCTTGAAAGACCTTACTGCAATGTCTGAAGAGACATTCACTTTCAGATAGTAATAACTCCGGGTGGATTTAGAATTCTCTTTTTGTGCAGCAGTTTAAGTTAACAATCAAAATAGAATTTGAATGCCCCCATGAGAGGGATCGATATCTAAAACAAACCACAACAGGTAAAAAGGGAACAAAAATATATTTATTTAAGTGATAGGCATCTGTTATTTCCCTCACTTTGGTCAACTATTTGACCTCTTCCTGATTTACACTGGGAATAGAATCAAACAGAACAGATTAAACTCTCCACTTAGGAGCACACCCTTAGCTTTTACAGAACTAGCGGATGTTCACTAGTGTCTACAATATCACAGATGTTAAACGCGCACCCGCTCGCTCGCTCTCGCTCTCTCTCTCTCCCTCACCCTCTCCTCTAAATTATTTTACAATGTCTACATGTTATCTGTCCTAGAGAGGCCATTATGTAACTTCCACTCAGAAGTTTGTCTGCTCCTGAGCACATAAACCGATTAAACTTCAACTACATTTATCACCCCCGACACTCTTGAAAGTACATGGATCACACATCTTAGTTTTTGGTCTTACTGTAATTTAGTCCTGAACTATAAAGTTGAGCAAATGTGTGAGCACACAAAGTTCTTTCCACAAATTTGAAATTGCAAAGTGTTCTAGCAGCACAAGAACATGAGGCCTCCCAAGAGTAACAAGGTGCTTTTAAATTTTGTATCATAAACGAAAATAAAATGCATTTTTTAGAGAAAATTAAGGTGAAAGAACTGCCTTTAGTATGCACACCCTGGAGGAGTGGGAAAATGTGTTTTCAAATGCAAAACAATCTGGAGGAAAAGTAAGTTAAACATCAATTACATCAAATTGTTGGTAGGAACCAACTATTCCAAATGATAAATTACACATTTGGCCAAATTGACAAATCCACACATAAAGCACAGTATACATTTGATAATATCTACAGTACAGTTATAAGATGATTAAAATTAACAAAATGAAAGGAGGGGAAAAGTTGGTAACAATATTTAAAAGGATCCCCTTGCTAAATGTTAGTCTTTATATGTAGAGTTGTAATATATAGATTTGTCTTTGGAAAAACATAATTAGTAAACTTAGATGAACAGTTCTATGTGAGCTTCCAACATTGAGAAATTCACTCATTGGATACAATGGATGCAAACTGGCTTCACTTCCTATTGCAGATTCCATTTGATCATATATCTAACAAAAAATATACCCTCAACCATAAGTCTTTTCACCACAAAAATATTTGTATGGAAATAATAGGTAGTCCCTCTTCATTTTGAATGAGGAAGAGAAAGCAAAAGACAGGCAGCACATTAAAATAGAGGAATATAGAAGATCCTCCCACCAATTTCCCTAGACTACAGCACACAAACAGAAGAGCCTAACAGCCATCTAATATACATATACATATACACACATCTATAGAATATACAATTGATCAGAACATTATATTGTGATGAATCTTAACACGCATGTAAAATCAAGGCAATCAGATTCAGATAAATATATTTTACATCAGTTGCAGTTGTATAATTCAAGAACACACAGCAACATAAAAAAGAGAGGACACAGCGTTCATGTTTAGAATCTAGATGGTTCTCACAAAATGGACACAAGTATATCACTACTAAAAAGGAGTCAAGACCAATCAAAGCATTGCTGAGAAATATTAATACTGCAAAAGTGACTTTTCAAAATATTTTTTGAGAAGGGGAGGAGTAAAATGAGGAACAACAGCAAAATTTAATGAGACCTAAACCATAAAAATATGCATGAAGCATCCACACGTTCTGTCAAAGAAAACAAGACAACTACTTCTCTACTTCCTCTCTCAAATTGAGCAGCTTTTGGGAAAACAAGGCATTTCCTCTCACATTATGAATAAAAAATAGTTTTCCTTTCGATGGAAACAAGTGATAAAATGATGAACTGTTCCATACAGAGCAAAAATACTCAGTCAGCTCTTGATGATAATGGCAGGAGTAGTGCCTATTACTTAAGAAAATGTGTAACCACATTTGGCACACACATGTCATTCACATTTGTAGAAAAATATATATACGTCAGATTTCAGATGGAGCACAGGAATATAATACCTGAGTTGTACTACCAGTTGCATCTACAGTGGTATCAACATAATGCATAACTGTGTGGCCCCCAAAACGTTGGTGTGAAAGGCCGAATCAACTTGCCAGACACTGCATGCTCAACTGCATAATAAATATCAGGGATGACAAACAAGGAAAATAATCACAACAAGACCTCCGAATAATAAAAATAGGTCCTATGAAAACTAACATAAACGCTCCAACTAATGGAGAACAAAGTACTGATGGTCATTTAGAGGAAAATCGTTTGGAAGTACTTTCCCAGCCACTAAGATGGCAACTTGAGACAAGAGCACAATAATTGTCAACAGAAGAGAATCTTATAGCATAACATCTAACATCAATAGTTTCAGATTTCAACAATAAACTTTTCAAGGATTATCAACATACAATACCACTTTAGATCAATTGTAACTTCATATTAACTTCAGTGAGACAAACAAATTGATATTTTGCTCTGAAGACATAAAATTATCTGTACATCAAGCTATAATACAAAATCAAAATCTCAAAACGATCTTTTATAATAAACTCTACAGAAGCAAAGATTTATATCAGCACCCATTAAGGTTCATCTACAACATCTAGCACCACACAAACAAATATTACTTTTGGCTCCGTTTTCAAGAGCAATAACCCTGTTACAAATAAGAAGGACCACATTTCAAATAAAAAAAAATCTGTGGCCAACTGGAGTGGGAAAACGTCTCTCCAATAAATTTTCTGTACAAAAGAAAAAGCATTATTCCAAACTTGGAATGCAATGAGTAGCTTGGATGAGGTGCCTTTAAAACAGTAAAGCTTATATGCCTAGAGCCAATAAACCAATTACACGATAAAAATAAAATGTACACATTTGCCCCTGAATAAACTCCAACCAAGATTCTTTCTTTTAAATCTTCAGGATATCACATTAAGTGGAGAAATAGATTACATGTCTGTCCAAACAATACAAATATGATCCCCAGATGTCCTCATTATCCAAGGAGTTTTACCTGAGAAGATAATCAAGCACATAAATACAGCTTGTGTAAGAGGAGAACATCCCCGTAAAATTTAATTAATAATTCAGATAACATCCACTAAGTGCAAACATCTTTGATAACTGCACTACATCAAATTAAATATAACCATTCATTGATGAATGCAAAAGCACTCAGTTCCCTTTCATGGTCTAACCTAAGATGAGTTGGATTATTTGGGTTAGACCAACGTTTGAGAAGATGGCCAGTGACCACCATATCGACACAGAAAAGGGCTGTCACAGATAACTCTTCCAGCCTCTGGTGGGGTCCACATTGACAAATCCTGCAACTAGCCCCTCAACACGATCTTGCAATAAGCTAAATCTTTTCCACATTAGACAAAGTTTAAAGGACAATATTTATATCTATGCTTGGTCCAGAATGTAATCTTGAAGTCCTGATTTAATAACTAGGACATATGGACACTTGCTACCATACAATTAGATTAATAGATCTTTCACTTGTTCAAAAATATAAGTAATGGGAAAAATTCAGAGAAAGATGTCACTTTAAGAGACACAATATGAGAGATGATTCCAACAGGAAAAAAAAAACAATTAGTGCTCAATGTTAACTCAAGGCCTGCTTGAGGTTTTTAAAACAAATCTCGATTAAGTACATCACATAAGCTTTGAACAGCATTGCTTCGCAGAGCTAGTTCAGAGCAAGGAGAGGAACTAGCACACCAACAATGTCAAATATATTAATGACTAATATAGATGGGAAGTTATTTCTGGTATGGTGTGCTTAGCAGACGAAAAACACAGTTTGAAGAGGGCATTAGGAAGGCAAGCCCCAAAAATACTCATACACCAGAAAAATACTGTAAAATAAAAATTATTCCCGTAAAAAGGAAAATTATACCACACACCTCTCACAACATAATAATCATATAAAAATAGAAAAGGTTCATCAGATTGAAAACTCTTAATGTGTGTAGGAAACAACAATCAATGCAACATTCAACAAGGATTTGACCAACAGCACATTTAACGTACACCATTGTTTAAAAAAAGGAAAATAAATTAACCTATGGACAGAAATGCAAGAATCAGTGATATAAGAGAAATTACAGGGAAAACGCTAGGACAAAACCTCTTCTGATAGAAATGCATATCTGAACTCATTTGCTCAGTTGAAAAACATAAGATAAAATTACAACCAATTTAGTATGATGGCAAACAAAATGACAAAAATAGGTTTTAACACACATAATTGGTACACCAGCATTTGTCTTTGGTCTTTGGTATATGCTTATAAATCCCTACGTCTCCAGTGGTAGAAAACGGAGAGTGAAATTCGATCACGGTAAGACATATCAAAAGTCTGGTGCACCTGCTGAACAATCCACAAAATTCAAAAACATAATACTTGCCAAACAAAGGCATAACAAATATTCCCATAAAATGATAAGAAAATTATTTTAAAGAAAGTCAAACAAGGTGAATCATCTTTCTCTGAAAATTTCTTTATAGGATAATCATCTTCATAGTAATAGCTAATAGCTCAACATCCATAGAAGTACTTTCTGATAAACCAGTTTGTCAAGACAAGATTCAGATTTAAGCAATACAATATGGCATCATGGATGGAAGTACATCTTGTCATCAATGGCAGTTCCATAAAACTAATCCATTCAACTGATTCAGAAAAATACAAGGTTACAGAAGGGAATTGACAGAGAATGAATCTGAAAACTACTGCTTTTTGAATGTGACACCTAAATAGTTAATAACAAAATATAATAAAATCTCCTTCAAACACATTTGCAACAATGGCATCTCTCGGACAAAGAATGGATTTACATACACAAATGTAACTGGCCCAACAGGAATTAAGATTTAACAATAATTGTCATTCCCCTCAGATTTGGGGTCAAGTAAAATCTGAATCTTTCAACAACAGGTGGTTACTTCAAACAAGATCACAGTTCGTTTTTCTTCCCTACCCAACTTGTTTCAGTTAAAAACATGGTACACTTCTTGCTCACACAGCCCTTTCAGTTTGTCTTTCAACAATTGAACTATGACAAATATTACGATCTTTATAGATGACTTTGTACATTACACAGCCCGACTGACTGACGAATTAGGAGAAAGGAAACTGCTGTAAATTCAACGACTCAGAACTCATATAAATATATAAATAATAAGCCTTTTGGGCCTGCGTTCACAAACAAAGTAATTGCTGCTGGTAGTAACAAAGAAAAGTTCTAGAAATGAAACAAAGCAGTGTTTTCATTCAAGAAGGAATCAACAGACACAATAAAATTTAAAGGAATGTAAAATTTAACAAAAGTATTGAAAATGCAGAAATTCCTTTCTCCCATATGATTTTACAACTTATATGACAGACATGATCAGAAAGGTCTCAGGATTGACTGACCATGTCACATCAGGCAATTAACTAGTCATCATTGGCACTAAGCCACAAGATCACTTGTAACAAATGGGAGAATATACTCATCAGAGTCACCATTTTCTGGGTTTAGGATGACCTCATGTAGTTTTGCACTGCTTCTTGGCTTCCACACATGTCCCACATTGTTCTGCAGATCCTGTTAAGAGACATTCACAATAGAAGTCAAGGCAAAAAGAAATATCAATTTACTACTAAAAGAATTAAGACTGAAACAATACCTGCTCAAGCTTTTCCATACTGTAATGCTGGTCAATCAAAATGTCACCCTCCCACATATCCAAATTATATAGTGACTTCCGAAGACTGAAAAGGGCATACAACTCAAAATCCCACAGCTTGTAACCTGCGTATAAATATAGTTAACAAGTTTAATCATTCCAAAATTACTAACATAATCAACATCGATTAGAGAAAACAGACACAACTTACCAAACAGAGTGATTTCTTCCAGCTTCACACAACGCCAAGCACACATCACAATTGGGTTAGTCATCATCTGTTCTCCTAGGTCTAGCAAAGTGTTGGTAGCGGCAGATTGTAGAGAGTCAACCCACTGGATAGAACGCAAAGTGTTGGCATACCACTGGGAAGCTTGTTGCAAAGCATAAACATTGATCTTGAAAAAAGGAAAAAAAAAAAGGAAAAATTAATAACCATGTGTACAAAAAACATAAAAACAGTCAAGAAAATCAATTTCTAAACATTTTTTTTACCTGCTCACAGAAGAATGCCCTTAGATGAGTCAAAGGCATACAAGGACGAAGAATAGAATTGTGAAGAACACCAACAGCATCATATGAATGAATCAAAGAGAGACGCAGCTCACAATTTGGGCTGCAAATAAGATGAGGCGTAAGTCACACAATGAAAAAAATATTCAACAATAAAAGCAATAAATGAAACATATGTTACTTGGAAAGTCTGAATGTGTTCCAGGCAGCATCACTTGTGCTAGGATGAGAATCTGCAATGCCATGAACATGTACCATGAGTCTCTTCATGTGACCTGTATTTAGGGCCAGCAACAGACGGTCATCAACATTGTCATAATCAATGCTCAAAATCTGAAACAAAAAAAAAACAATGGTTAATTCATCTTAAACAAAATGTTTGATAATTACGTGTTTAATTAAAAAGTACAAGTAGCAGGCAGTACCTGGAGATGACGGAAATTTTGAAATAGAGAACTGTCAAGTTCTGGTAACAAGTAGTCATCTGGATCATCCTTCAGAGTGGCCAACCCCAGCACACGCAATGAAGCAGACTGATAGTTGACAAGAGTGTGAAGAAGCTCTTTGGAATAAGAGGTGGCATCTTCCATACAGCCTAGGGTAAGTTCTTCCATATACAGACTAGACGTGGCGATCTTACGTAACATTTGTAGTCCATTACTGTAAATAAATCAATGCATAACATTTGATTACAATTTAAGAAAATTTGATACAAAATTTAGACTACTAGAACAAACTATCAATTTAAAATTGGAATTTTGGCTCAGTTGTAAGAATAAATTAGTGATAAAGATTACGGTTATGCAATACTATCACAAGTCTCATATAAACACGATTCAATACAAAACTAACCAGATAGGTAAAGTTTTTCTCTTTTAAAAAGTATTTAAAAAAAGTTAAATGGTTTACTGACAGCTGGGTAAACAAAACTTTGACAGGAAATTTGACAGCTGGAGCACATCAATGTCACAAGGGGAGGAAGGCCAACAGCATTGAAACACAGTTGTCACCATTAACGCCGATCGTGATACATTGAAACATCGCTTGCTAGACTAGAAAGGGGCGAGACCTTGAAAACAACGTTTGACAGCTTCGAGTTGACAGGGACTCACCTCCCACAGAACTGTTTCAGAGCTTCGCAGCGGCCCGAGTACTCCGAATGACAATTGCTGGGCATCAGGTGGAACTTTCGGAGTTCTGTGTTCTTGCTCAATTTTTTCACAACTCTTGCTGCCTCCTCGACACATACTGGATCTAGAGAATCGAACTTGACGGTGGCACTACGCAGCTTCTTGGCAAAACAGCTGGCGAGATATCTGTTCCGAGCGACCGTGTCTTCATGGTGCGAATTTATGTTAAACGTTAGATTTCTCCACAAAGTTGCGTGGTACAAATGCTGCCGCCATTGCTTGCAGGTCGAGGATGCGCTAATCGTGTCGTTTCGAGGCAGATACTTGAAGACTTCTAGCAAAATCACACTGGGCAAATTGTTCCAACTTCCTCCATCCGTAGCCATATTTACTTTCCCAACAGGTTTCGTCGTCTGGACGTCTGATCGAAGTCGTTTGTCACCTGTTTCTGTTTGTCGGGGAGAGGGGGGCGTAACAGGCGAGGGGGGAGGAGCAGTGGGGAGGGGGGCGGTCAGGGGGCGGTTGTGAGGGTGGGGAATTCCTCCCGGGGGCGTTCCTAAAGCGGGATTGACCTAGACTGACCGAACGCACGCAAACAAGGCGGGGTCCGGGACGGGTCTGACTCAGGGCAGGAAGGCTGGTCCCCCCAGTCAAAACCCCCGCCCGCATGTCAACTGTCAACTGTTGTTGTTTAGTCCGTTGTTGTTGTTGTTAGGCCCTTTCACGCCACTTTTTGCGACAAGTCAGGCAAATCCTTCTTTCGTTCACTTCCCCTGCTTTTTTCCCTTCTCTTTCCCGTCGAACCCATTACTCATCGAGCACCCAGTCTCCGTTACCTTTGTTCCCTGCTCCATCGCGCCGCCTGGAAGACTCAAGGAACACAGTAAGGCGGAGCGGAGGTTGTGCTTTGCTGCTTTGTCGCGACGAAAGCAGTTTCCTTTTTGTTCCATGTCTGTTCCTCTTTTGGAAATTCAGTGCAAATATAGCTACCCTTTTATGTAGCCGCTTTCTTTTTGTTTTTCGCCAAGCCACACGCTGGTGAAAAGCCTCAGCAGTTTTGGCATCTTCCATCACATCAACAAGTGGGTGGGGTTTGTTTACAAGTCATTAGTGAGATCTTCAATTTCAGGTTCGTGCTTTCGTCTTTCGTCGTTCGTTGGGTTCACAGAATAGCATCTCCACCATGTCAAGTATACCCCTGCGGGATAGAGGTGTGAGAAGAATGGAGGATCCAGTGGTTGCACCTCTAAGACACACCCGCAATGGTTACTCTCAAGAAAGCATTGGCCGATTCTCTGAGCACTCAATTCATTCCGCCTATCGCTTGGAGGGTGAGAGTCATGAAGGTGAGTTCTATTATGAGTTGTCATTGCACGTTGTTGTGTACCGGTCTAAGGATTATGGTCTCTGTAATTCATCAATCCCATATGTGCTTACATGTGTTGAGTTCAATTGCCTTATAACTTTTATTCGTTCTTTCTATTTTAGGTTGCCAAGATTGTCTCACACGAATTCCATATGCATCACTCATTGCCACGATCATGTGTTGTGTTGGAGTGGGCGTTTTCTGCGGAACCATGTACCGAGGTGCCACCTTGTCGGCTCTGATGTTTGAACAAGTGTTTCATCTTCATTTGAGATGGTGAGATTTGTTTTGGGCTTTACGTTATTTTTCCTCCCATTCTATGTGTGAGTCTCGCTTCCATACTTTACCATTAATTTGTTTTTAGGTTGGAACCTGTGCAGCTCGTTTTCGTCATAATTGGTGCTGTCATGGGAGCTTTGGGACTAATGAATCTGTTTGTTGGCTGCTTGGCAACTGGAGCTACCAGACACAAGGTCTATCGAACGTGGCGTGGGAGAGTTGGTGGAAGAGTATCTTGTGCTGTGGTGAGTATTCTCTTTGTTTGAATGTACTCCTTTCTGCAATTTCATTGCCTTAAAAAAAAGAAAAAGAAAAAAAAAACAATTGTATTTTTAATTTTATTATTATTATCTTTCAGTTCATGGGTATCACATACACACTGCAGTTCATCTGGCTTTTGATGTTGTGTTTCTTGATTGTTGTAACACTTGTTTTCACAACATTTTGGAATCTCTGCTCGAGCCATCGTGTTGCTGTGGAGCACCAGTGCATAAACTTTGACTTGTTTGGTGTGTACATATCTTTTTTCTTGTAATTTTGTATTTCCCTTTTGTGTTAAGTGAAATTGACTTTTGTTACTGTATTTTGCAGACTTTGTTTTTCCAAATAACACCCCACCTGAGGATATGAAGGTTTGTGACAACGAATTGAAATTGTTCTGCAAAGATTATGTGGAGCGTGCAGAGGTCATGTTTATATTGGCCACGGTCGCCTGCCTGTTTGTGATTCTGAGTCTTGTAAGTAACCAAGCTTGTTGCTTTAACAACTTTGCCTTTCTGCTGTGGAAAAGTCAATTATGATGTAATCTATTTCTTTCAGATGCACTACTTGATGTGCTTGTCTGCAAACTATGCACATATCCGTGATCATGAGAAGTTCCAAGAGTTGCAAGACTTGCAATACCTACCAGATATGACTGGCATGTCAACCACTTCCAAAGATTTCAGGGAGCGTTGATTTGTTCATGCCTTTGATCCGTGCTAAGTGCAACTACACAAATTTTTTTTTCCAGATATTTCTATTATTATTTATGTACATATCCATCATATAATCATATTATTTACCTTGGTAATTCACAGCTTTGAAAACTACTTTATTCTATTGTGTAGTATTTTGAGAATGTCCTCAGAGCGATGTTCATGACTTGATCTTATTCTTGAAGAACAGGTTAATGTGGTTGTGAACAATAGCATCTAGATGTCTAAGAACCTTTTTGTTTCTTCTCCTTTTTTTTTGGTGTATTAATAGTTTAATTATTACAAGTGTTAGAAATCATTGTCCTTTGCACTTTTCATTTTTGACCAAAACAGTAAATGTTTGTTGCTTTTCTATCTTTTATTAATATTTAAATAAATGTGTTGTGATGTATGTTTTAGGTGTTAAAACAATATTAAAGTGCCCTCCAGTTTTCCTGTTTTGTTCTCACGTTATTATTCAATATCATTATTTTAATGCGTTTGTATTGCATAATTATGCTTAATACCACTGCCATGGTGACTTTGTTACAACTCATATGTATCTTCTTCCCTTGTACATGTTATTTATGTAAAATCAGGGTAGCTGCCTTACCATCAACGATAATCTTCCAATGCAGAGGTTGATCACTACTGATAAGTGTTTGCTACTGTCAATCAGATTACATCTAGTATCCCATAATTTCTACTGTATGCCTATTCTACAACAAAGTGCCTTGTACTACTCTTTGTACGGAAAACTGTCTGAACTGATTTTGTAAGTCGTCATGCGATAGACTGTTGGCATCTGGTCATTCTTAATGAGATGTCTCCTACTTGAAACCATACCTTGAGTATGTTGTTGAGAGGAATGAACTTTTGCCAGCAAACTATTAATTTTGTGATCCTTAGATTATCTAACTTGTTGTTTAGAATGACTGAACTATAGGTTACAGAAAGCTAAAATATGATTTTATGTTACCGTTGTGGTTCTATGGATTTGTAGTATTTACCAGAAATTACCATTCTATCTCCAGAATTCTCGTTTAACTTATCTTAAAATTATGTGTCTCAACATGCACTTGTGACGTTAGACACAGACACACATTTGCCTCATTGTATCCCATGTGAAGTCAAGCATGTAGTTCAACTAATATTTTTCCTCTTTGCAATTCAAGACAGTATATAATCTGAAACAATGTTATGCCTATTATTTAAAGAATCTTCTTAATGTGTGCACCGATGTGCACTCATTTGGTGATATGTTGAGTCAATTACAAGCTGTTTCTGTTTGTTAGATCATGCTTATTGCACTACTTTTAACAGACTTATCAGTATTTAAATGTCTTCACATTCCACTAGTTTGTTAAGGCTTTCACCTGGTCACTTTGTTGGCAAGGTGCAATTAGTAAGTGTATTTTGAAACAAGTACAAAGTTTTCATACAATTTTCATTGACATCTTCTAGGGTTCAATTCATTATAAAATGAAAAATAATGAGGTTTTTTATGAAACCACACAAACATTTTTATTTAAAAAAAAATAATTAATTTTGATACTTTGTATATTTTGATCCAAGAGTCCGTCCGTGTCTTTTTGTATTTTGTTACAAGTTTTTATATAATCTGATAAATGAGAGATATAGCTTTTGTTTGATGTTCACATGTAGTGTGGCAACTTTCTATTTTAAGCACTGTGTATATCTAAAGCAAGTACAAAAATAAAACGTTCAAGGAGAACAAAAAACTGTTATTTCTTATCTGTCATCCCCCGCTAAAACCATCATCCTGTGGCAGTTGAAGTCATGGGAAAGTGGATGGTAGGTTGCCTACCTTTTTGATGGAGGCTTTAAAGATTACTCATTCCTCACCAGAAAAAGAATGTTGTGTGCCAAAATGAGCCCTCACATAATGTCTAGAGGTACTAGGATGTGCTCCAGCACAACATGTCAAAGTTTCGGCCATTTTAAATGTTTAGCCAAAAACGGTAAAAAACCATGCTGTATAAAGCCTTAACATTTTTTCGATGAAAATGGTCGACCGCCTCCGATTTGTCTGAAATTGACATGGAACCTTCGCATGGGTCTAAGAAACAGATGCCCGGTGTCCAATGCTCTCTGACACATTCAATTCGGTCTGAAAATGACTTTTCCAACAACGTTAAATTGAGGGTGCGATGGGGACAAAGGGTTGCCTACCTACGCGGCGCATACGTAAAGCATTCCTGTTTCTCGCCAGAAAAAAACTGTTTAGGGCCGAAATGGACCTTGAAATGGTGGCAGGAGATTAAGAGGGAGTGCTCCTGCACAACACACTTTGAAATCGTCCAATGTTGTGCGTGAGCACTTCCTCTCGTCTCCTGACTCTATTTCAAGGTCCATGTCGGCCCCAGACGGTCTCATTCTGGCGAAAAACTGGCATGCTTTGCGTATGCACCGCGTAGGTAGGCAACCCATCGTCCACTCCTTTTTCGGGAAAACACTTAAAACAACCCAAAATGAAGTATGTTGTGCTGGAGCACTCCCTGATTACTGTGATAATTGGGGTCGGAGGGGATGGATGGTATTCACTTCTGCCACCAAAAAGGGATCAATTAATAAACAAACAGCTAAACATATATAAAAAGTTTATTGCCTCTGACCTTACCAAAATTACATTCAGCAAAAAAAGCACACCTCTGTGGAATTTAATTCAAGTGAATGAGCAAGCATATAACATAGTTTCTAAGACAACAAATTTTTGACAGATGGTGCGTAATTTTTATAACACAGAAGTGGGAACCCGCAGCAAAGGTGAACAGGGCAGTCCAACAACATGAAAATATTATTATCACCTCAAATAGTGTTAAAGATGAGAATTATAACAAAAATTAGTTAAAAACTACAGCATTGATACTATATGCGATTAAAGTAGTTTCTTATTAAGTTGATAAATAATAATAATCATATCACTTACACAGTTCATCAAGTTCATGGATATACCTCATTAAATAGTACCACTAGCATTGCACGTTTTCAATACAGATTACGATGGTCCAATAATGCATCAAAAAGTATATATGTTTCAAAATTCATTACCAAGGCAGAACATCACAATTCATTTAAAGACAAGACGGTTGTTATACTGGCTTGTATGGTTTGGTTAGGTTTTGAGAAAACTCTTTCACATTAGTTGCTCCCCTAACTTCATGATCCAGCAAGGGCAGTTTGGTGACATGGAAATCCTCGTAAAGGTCATTTATCTACAGAGGGAATAAAAAGAACAACTATAGTGAGCAACATAAACATTTCAAGATACCAAAGCAAGTAAATTATGAAACTGGATAAGACATTACACATGTCAATTTTTTAAAGTAATTTCATACCTGGTCGAGATATTTCTGTTGAACTTTGTACCTTGCAGAACACATGCGACATGGTTGCTCATTCTTTGGTAAGAACAGCAGTTGATTCACAATAATATTATGGGTATCAATACCACATTTTGTGAGCTCTTGGACTAATCTTTCCGTTTCATACAGTGATAAAAATTCTGCTATGCACACACACACAAATGTTGTTTGCTCCTGCAACAGGTAATAAGAAATGGTCAATTGTAATCTAATCTTCCCTTCTGTATTCAAAAGTGTGAAGTTTTTCGACGCTTACAGGGTCCCGGAACTGCTCATTGACCTGCTGTATCACTGACATCATCTCTTCCAGCTTTTTGGAAAGACTATCAGCATTGAAGCTGTTCATTCCCATCAGAGCGCTCAGCTGTGGATAAGTTAAGGCACACAATGTTGAAAAGAAACATAGAGTAAGAGCAGAGAAGGCAAACAAAAATGGGGATTACCTGAGAAATGAAGGGGCTGATCTTCATTTTTAAACGGAGCAGTTTTCCCAGTCCCTTCTCAACAACTTGAGGGAACGAGAGGAGGCGCAAAGTGTGCCCAGTGGGGGCTGTGTCAAAGACAACTACCGAAAAATTCATGCCCTTCACAAGTCTAAAAATAAAGGTACAAATAAAGTAGCAATTTATATGATTGTGTGGTGAACATAATAAAAAACCCTGACATAAAAGGAAGATGGTAAAATCACTTACTTCATGACCTCAGTGTAACTCATGGCTTCATCAATCCCAGGGAAGGAACTAATGACTTCTTGCATCACTTCTTTACTCATTGCCATAGCTTCACTGTCACTGTTCTCAAAGTACTCTTCAGGAAGTTCGTTGAAGCCAATGTTAGGATCTACTTCCTAGAAACCATAACATTTTAAAATAAAAGATTAGAAATGAGCCTTACCATACAATTAACCACAGTTAATAGTTTACTATATGAACTTCGTAGCTTACCATAGCAAATAAGTTGTCAAAGCCGTTCACCTTAGTGGGTACCTTCGAGAATTTCTGATCAAATGCATCAGATATGTTGTGAGCTGGGTCGGTAGATATTATCAGTACACTTGATCGTACTTTAGATAATTGCACTGCTAAACTACAACTGTAAACAGAATATTGAAGGTTAGGCGACTTCATGGTTCGGGAGACATAGATAATATAACGTGTCGGTTTGAAGCAAACCCAAGATAAATATTATCACTTTACCTGCATGTTGTCTTTCCGACACCGCCTTTTCCTCCGACGAAAATCCATTTCAGTGATTTTTGATCAATGACGTTTTGAAGGGAGGGTTCCAATTCGGGGTCAAATTCCATAGACGACATGTTCGGCAGCGGAAAGAGCTAAAGCGCAAATTTTGCATGCGGTAGGACTAGATTTCAAAGCAGTGCCGAACGGTAGGGATTAGACACTAGAAATAATAACAATTTCGGACCGTATTACGTGACAGACAATATTGTGATCAGCTAGCAGCCCACATGTCACCGACCAATCAGCGGGTAACAGGACGAGTAGTACGGATGAGAAACTTCTCCCTACGAACCCGGACGGTGACCATGGGAATCGGCCTAGAACCAGCGTCGCAAAACACACAAAGTGTCGTACAATTTCTCATAACACTTCTCAATAGCAATGCCACGAATGTGTACTGCAATAGTGTTCCATAAACAGTACAACTGTCTAACTGTCAACAACTGTCAGTTGATGTTTTTTGTAGTTGCAAAAGTGACAGTTAACAAATTGTAGCAGTGTTTGAGTGTTTTTACCGGCCTTTCAAACAAGATATCATTTTATCGTTGCCGGAAAATTTAAACCACTCAGAATTTTGGTTGAGCTGCCTTTGGGCAACTGGCTTATCTCATTCCTCTCATTCATTGATGACAAAGAAACTAAAATTTATTTCATCATAAAGAGCAATGGTGAAGCCAGAATATCCAAACCAGGGATTTAATCAACCAGCTTCCTTCAGTCACAGTGGTGCTGATAGTGGTGAAGCAGACATCAGATATGAACAACATAGAGAAGAAGCTGGATACACCCCAAACAACTCTTTGACTTATTCAAACGATGACAATGTTTTTCTATCATCTGGGAGCCATGCCCTCACCTTCCAGTCTTACAACCGCTCTCTTTCCTGCCCAGTACCTAACACCGTGCCAAGGGAGAGAATTTCTTCCCTCCCCAATCCGGAGGAGAATGTCCCACTGGAGCCATCAACACGAAGAAGAGGAAGCGCTCCAGTTTCTTACAATTCTTGCGGAGTTGCCAACTCTTCTAGGGCTGAAGTAAGCGATGCACTCCCTCCTCAACTTCTGGATATTGCTGCCAAAGGGCAAGAGCTGTTCTGGTTTGTTTTCAATGAAGTAGTGAAGGCTGACGGAGTCACAGCATCTGGGAGCCCAAGTGTTTTGACTATATTACCTCACAGGTAAACCCGAGCTCTGCACTTTTCTTGCAAGCACTTGCTAGTTTATGCCCCTGAAAGTTGCCTTATTTGTTGAAATATTTGCCTACAGGATGGAAGTTCTAAATGAGAGGGGCAGATGCGGTGGAAGAACGCTGCAGCAAATAGCAGAATCCTTTTTTCACTCTCCCCAGCGACACAGTGTGTGGAACCATGCTAGTAGTATTGATATTCAATCACTCGACTACAATTCATTCTCACTTATTTTGCTGGGGCTTTTTCAGGTTTGTATTTCACAAGTCTTCATACGAATAAATTATCCAATTATATATTAATATTTGATCTGACCATTCCAACAGGAGGGTGGCATCACACAGACCAGAGTACTGGTGCTCATATTCTTCTGTGTGGACATAGCTCACAGAGCTCTCAGAGAGAACCTTATGAGAGATTTTCAAAAGCTTGTAGAGTGGACATCTCGGTTCATTACGGAGCAGCTCAGTGCATGGGTGCTGCAACACGGCGGCTGGGTGAGTCCCATCCCACTAACTTTCTGAAAAATGCTACATGAACAATCCTAATCAACATTTCTGTAACAGGCGGCTGTTCTTCAGGAATCAGTAGACCAGGCTTACAGGGTAGCAGTTGTTGGATTGTGCTTACTGACTGCATTGGCTGTGTCTTTTTGGTTGGTGAGAAACAGATAAAAATCAAAGAAACCAAAGAATTTCCAAGTTGACAGTGATAATTTTAGGACAAACATTGAACTAGCTCCAGGGTTAATACTAGATCCAGCTATATGGATTCTGACTGTTACAGCCCTGTTGCTATGACTGATGGCAGTCCCTGCCAGTATTGTGCTCTAATGTGTCACATCAACACTAGTCATGTCTATGTTAGTAATTTATTAAACAACTCAATTTTAATTGTGTCCTATTCTGAACTTTGACTTTCCACACAGTCCTAAGATGCTAAAAGGCACGGAATCTTTGATTTGGCCAGGTTAAAGAAAGCAAAAGGATCATAAATATGCAAGATGAGAGATTAAAAGAATATTTTATATTTCAAGAAAACTTAATCATGCATGCCAATCAAGAGCCAAAGTAAGACATACCCCTTAAATGTTCAAATGGATAAAAAAGAAATGCATGTTGAAAGAAAACTTAGCAAAATAATGCATCATGGCAAGTACAGGTAAATGAATGACAAATGAGACTAAAATTATATACACACAACTAGTGAACTTTAGCATGAAATAATGTAAAGGACCACAAGGATAGAACATGAAAAGTAAAAGAGAGCTAAAAATGAATAACTTAAATCACACTTGCACACACTGCTATCACAATGGTTGTTTGTTCTTGCTGCCACGCCTGAAGAACCTGGCCAACTTGGACTTGGGGCTTAATGGTATTGAAGTTACACTACTTCCAGTGCTGCTGGGAGATTCTGCTTTGGCTTTACCTGAAACACAAACATTCAATTACATATCATATTAGTTAAATCATAGTACCTCATTTTGAAAGGGCGATGGTTGTTACGATTGCCATTCTCGACAAACCAAAGCAGATCTAAAGGACAGCTGCCGAAGGGGCATTTAAAATTTAAGAGTCCACGCTTAAAAGTGATTGGCAGCAGCAAAAATTTACATAATTTTGGTTACAGTTTAGGGGAGACTTCAAGACTTCAGTGCCACCTAGTTTCCCAAGAGAAGTCAGAGCTGACTAGATTCATCGAGACCAATAACCGTAACCCCTTCTCACCATAGTCACTGACCGACTCCGGAGGCTCCACAGTGACAATGCTTGGGACAAAAGCTCCAAGGGTGGGGGGGACTGGAACGTCAGGGAGGGAACCATTCACCAGCACAGCTCCCTCTTCATCCTCAATATCTTCATCCTCAGAGGAAGCTGAGCAGTCACCATCTTCATCACCATTGGGCTGAAACCAAACATGTAATTTAATCCATGCGCTCACAGAGAATAGAACTTTAAACATAATAGGAAACAAGAACTAACCACGTAGTCTGGATCACTGTCACTATGATAGTCCTCGGCACATTTCTCAAGCTTCACAGCTGTGCTCTCATCGTCACTGCAATCTGTCCAGTCAGACTGCTCAACATCATCATACTTGCGCTTGCGCTCCTGGAACAAATGTGGTTCACATTCAGACCCTATTTCAATCAATTGCCGATAAACAAATTGTCAGAGTCTTAAGAACAGACCGAGTCTGTTCAAGAAATCCGCAGACACTCTAATTTCTGCCCACGATGAGTGCAAAGTGTTGCTCATCCCCTATAAGACTCACATGCTATACTTACATGATCCGGTGTAGTTGCAGATGCAATCTTAACCTTGGCGCATGGTGTTCCATTAGGAGTCCTGTCAGGTCTGCCGCCACAATGCTTGTGCCCCATGTTCTTCAAGCCAGCCGACAAAACAGCACGTAAGCGACGTCGCTTACCTTGAAGCCAGTGGATCTGGCAGAGAACAAATCCAATTAGCAAAGCGTAACCAGCAAGGACAGTGGAAGACACATCAAGCAAAGACTCGACTCACCATGTCTGTAGTATCACGAGGCTTCAAAAACACACGGGTCAAGCAGTAGAATGTGACCCTGACGACTCCCAGCACGCCAAGCAGGGGCAGGAACAGGGGCCATGCCAGGGGACGAGCCACCACCACCACTATCGAGTCGGAATCCTCGGCACCTGGACAACAAGAGCAACGTGAGTACGGTCGGGGACAGGCGCGCCAGGAAAGACCCCTGGAGGCGGCCGAAACTCTACAGGCGTTTTGAGCTCCAGAGCCGCTGAATGGGACTCGAACCGAACGTGTGACCCCACCAATGGATTGCTCTCCGAACGAGGAATCCAGTGGTGGGGTCGCGACGCGGCCCTCGGCCCGAAACAAACAAACAAGCCCCACATTGCGCGCGGACGAGCGTGGGCCCTGGACGACCACGCCGTAACCTGAACACCGGCCTGGACGGCCTGGAGCGGCACCGCGCCCTGCCCTGTGACTTACCGGCTTCGTTGCCGTGGCTGCAGGCAGGGGGGCGATGGGCGGTCTGCGTGGACCACATGAGGGACTTCTCCACCACGCGCAGCACCGCGTCCACGCCCCTGACGACGACCTGGCCCGCCGGCCGGCTGGCGATCCATTCGCCCAGCCGCTCCATGGCAGAGGCAGAGGGCGCGACGACGCTCATGGCGATGGCGGACTAGAACGGTGCACTTGAACGCCTCCCACGTGGAGGAGCAGCAGGGAGCGGTTCACTGGTACCGACTGGACTCTGGTTCAAGAGGCGCCAAGCGCTTTGTTCGGCACGGCACTGCAAGTCTCTGGGCGTCTCTGGGGTCGAGCCGGCTGTCTGTCTCACTCTCACTCATCACTGACTGCCTGCCGGGCGGGCCGCCTGTTGCTGGCGGCGGGGCAGCTGCCCCCTCCCCTCTCTTCCTCCCCCTCCCCTCCCTCCCCCCAACCCCGCCCAGGTGGGCCGCCAATGAATGGACTGCGTTGCGAGGCGCGACGCCAAGACGCCCTCCTTGCCTCCCTCTCCCTCCTCCTCCCCGAGTTCTTAGCGGTTTGGTTGTTGCCGCCGCCGCCGGCTGCAGACTGGTCGTCGCTCTGTCTCTCTCGCACCCATGGGGCCTCCCATGTCGGTGCGAGAGAGACAGGGCGACGAAAACGACTCTCGGAATCAGTCCGCTGCGTCCGAGGAGCGCGTCGTCGTCTCGTTCCTGCTCGTGAAGGCCAAGACCCCTCGCTTGCACAGGCGGTTGATTGCGCACGCAGCCACGAACTGCAACCCCACACCCTCCTCGTGTCTCGGTCTCCTCTCCTTCCTCAACAGCACGCTGCATCCGTGCCGTGTGTCCCTCTGAGATGCGCGTCGACGGGAGCCGTTTTACCGACGATTCGAATTAATGAGTTCGGGAAGGAAGAAAGCAAATCACACGTTCACGAGACATAAATACATTTATTCACTATAAATAGATTTATTTATTTATTATGAGCACCGGGTTTGATTGTCATCAATTAATCAATCGGTTAATCAATCAATTGATAAGTCGATCAATAAATTGATAAATCAATCAATCATTTGAACATTATCGACAGGCACGTCGATATTCTTCGATCGAGAAGTCGATCCACGCTTCAGTCTGTTTGTCACTGCGACACTAACACCACACTGCCCCTCCTGCTGCCGCCGGCGTGGCCGCCGCCCCCGCTCCGCCTCCGGTCCGCGGAGGAGCCGCCCCCGGGGGCGGAGGAGGCGGGCCCGCCGCGGAAGCTGCCGAAGAAGAAGGAGTCCGTGGCGACGCTCTCGCCGCCGGACTCGGAGGCGCCGTCGCAGAGGGACTCATCCGTCTCGGACAGGCTGCCCTGGCTCTGGCCCTTGTGCAGGCCGTTGAGGCTCTGTCCGTGGCCGTGGCCCAGGCTCACGCGCCGCTTGGACTCGTTCGAGTCCGTGCTCAGGTACCCGGAGTCCTCCGGCTTGTGGGGCAGCATGGGCGGGAACAGGATGGGGATGCCCGGCGAGTGCCCGCCGTGGTCCCGCTGGTCGCGGTCCACCACCTTGCGCCAGGACTTCTTGACCGAGTCCGAGCCCCGCTTGTCGCGGAGGTGGCGCACCAGGTCCTTGCCCGCGCGCGCGCGCGACCCCGCCAGCAGCTGCGTCTCCTGTGGGCGGAAACAGAGCGAGGGTCATGCGATGTGAGAACAGCCCACAGTCCACTCTAGGACTCTACCCACAGTAGGCCAGAGGACCGGTGGGGCGGCCAAAACTCTAGACGCGTTTTGTGCTCCAGAGTCACTAAATGGGACTCAAACCGAACGTGTGACCCCACCAATGGATTCCTCGTTCGAAGAGCAATCCATTGGTGGGGTCACACGTTCGGTTCGAGTTCTGTTTGGCGACTCTGGAACTCAAAACGCGTCAGTTTTGGCCGCCTCCACCGGTCTTCTGGCCCACTGTGCGGCTCCCAGTGCAAACCCGGCATACGAATTGGACTAGGGGCTCACCTGCAGGAAGGTGGTGCCGCTGAAGGACACGGCCTTCTCCGAGCCGGCGTCCGACAGGTCCCGGTCGCGGTCGCGGTCGCGGTGTCTGCGACGCGACACCGGCGAGGACGCCGCCGACACGGACGGCCGGTTGGCCTGCAGGATGAACTGGCCCTTGACGGAGGGCGGCGGCGGGCTGGGCGCGGACAGGGGCATGGAGTAGAACGCCTCGTAGTCCGACGAGTTGAGGCTGTCCGCCGACGCCACGGACATGGCGTCCGTGTCTTGCTCCGCGGCGCGCGGCCCGCGCGGCGGCAGCGGGGGTAGCGGGGGCAGCGGGGGCAGGGGCCGGTGCGCGGGGTTGCCTGCCGCCTGGCGCTTGCCGCCCCCGCCAGAGCTCTGCTTCGGGGGCAGCGCGGGCTTGGGGTTCCGCGGCGGCAGCGGGGGCCGGTCCGGCCGGTCCGCGGGGCTGGCCTCACGCTCGTTGACGGGGCGCGGCGGCGGCGGCTCCTGGTACAGCGCCTGCGGCGGCGCGGCCGGCGGCTTGGGCTTGGGCGGCCGCAGCGGCGGTGGCCGTGGCGGCGCGCGCGTCTCCAAGCCGTTGCTGGTCTTGGCCTTGCGGGAGCTCCGCTTGCCGTTGGACTTGCTCGCGCCCCGCGAGGGTGGCGGCGACGGGAAGCGCTGTCGCCGCTGCTTGGACGCGCGCGTCGACGACGCCGTGGTGTGCGCCGACCGCACGGACCGCCGCGACGACGCCACCGACGTGCAGTCGGTGTCCGAGTACTGGCTGCCGCCGTGGAGGCTGCCGTGGAGGCTGCCGTGGAGGCTGCCGTGGAGGCTGCCGTGGAGGCTCTGCGTGCAGACGGGCAGCGAGTCCAGCGCGCGGCACCGCGCCCGCGACTCGTAGATCTCCCGCAGCGAGCCGAACATGCGGTTGAACGGCGAGGGCTGCTGGGCGGCGTGGCCGAGGGCGTGGCTGGCGCAGGCCGGCAGGTGCTGCTGCTGCTGCAGCATGGGCAGCGGCGGCGGCTCCGCGGACCGGAAGCTCCCCGCCGTCCGCAGCAGGATGGCGCCGCCGGGCCGCTCCAGCGAGTCCAGGTACGCGTCGTGGAGCGGGTCCGACGCCCCCGAGCTGGCCGAGCCCAGGCGGTGCGCGCGCACCTTGGTCACGGACTTGCGGTCCAGCGTGTCCGGCTCGAAGTTGTCCGCCTCGGGCGTGTGCCTCTTGTTGTCCGGGGAGTCGTCCACCTGGATGGTCAGGTGGCCCGGCTGCTTGTCCGAGTACTTGATGTTGTTCTCCGAGGACGCCGACGTGGACGAGTGGCTCGGCGACGGCGAGGCGCCGCCGCTGCTGCTGAAGCTATAGTTGTCGTTGACGTAGACCTCGCTGACCAGGCTGTAGCCCTCGCTGTTGGTCAGGAAGTTGGGGAGGCTGAAGGGCTGTTGCTTTGGCTTGTCCTTCTGGTCGTGCTTCATGACCACGTCGCCGTTCATGACGATGGGGGGTTCCGGGCTCAGCACGATGATCTCGTACTCGTTGTCGTCCTCGGCGGGGGCCGCGGGGGCGGCGGGCTTCTGCTGCAGGCGCTGCAGCCCGCTGGTGATGGCGCGGTGCGTGGCCACAGGGGTCATGGGCACGTCGCCGTACTCGGAGGGCGTGGACGCGCCCAGGCTGTGCGGCTGGCGGCCGGTCTGCGGGGCGCTGTGCGGGGCGCTGTGCGGCGGGGAGGCCTTGGCGGCGTCGGGCACGGCGGGCATGGCGGGCAGCGACTTGGGCGCCACCGTCTCCAGGCCGCGCTGCACCACCAGCTCCTTGATGACGGCGTCCATCAGCATCTTCGGCACCTCCGGCTTGTCCGGCGGGGGCGGGGGGGCGGCGGCGGCGGCGACGGCGCCGTGGTCCGACTCCGCGACGGCGGCGCTGCCGCTGGGGGCGGCGGGGCGGTCACGCTCAGCTTCCTGGCGATGGCCTCCTTCTGCTGCGCGACCAGCCCCGGCGGCGGCGCGGGGGCGGACGTCGGGGGCGGCGGCGGCGGCGAGTGCATCGCGTTGCGCCGCACGATGGCGTCCTCCGCGGACACGTGGATGCGGTTGGTAGCGCTGCCGCCGCTGCCGCCTCGGAAGCTCCCGTCCGCCGGCCGCCCGTTGGCCACCCTGGTCCGCGCCGCGTTCGTCTCGTTCATGGCGCTGATGCTGCTGCTTCGGACTCGGAACTGGTTGGGCTCGGCACTGGTGTCCTTATTGCTAACGCCGTTCACGCCGTTGCCCGCGCTGTTGGCTACACTGGTATCACTTAACTTATTCTTAATGCTAACATTGATGCTATTGCTCACGCTGTTGCTTCTGACTCGGTTGACTGGTGCGTCCTCGGCGTTCTGAATTTTGTTGTTGCTGACGCCGTTGTTGACGCCGTTGCTGACGCTTCCGCTTCTGCTTCTGAACGCGCCTTCGTCCTTGTTGTTGTTGTTGCTGACGCTTCCGCTCCTGCTCCTGAACGCACCTTCGTCCTTGTTGTTGTTGCTGACGCCGTTGCTGACGCTTCCGCTCCTGCTTCTGAACGCGCCTTCGTCCTTGTTGTTGTTGCTGACGCCGTTGCTGACGCTTCCGCTCCTGTTTCTGAACGCGCCCTCGTCCTTGCTGTTGTTGCTGCTGACAGCCTTCACGCTGCCGGCGCGGCTTCGGAAGCTGTTGTCCTCGGCCATGACCCTGCTGGGCGCCGGGTCGTCGTGCTTGTTGTTGTTGAGGTCGTTGTTGTGGACGGGGGGCTTCGGCACGCGGAGCGGCACTCTGGGCGGCAACCCCTTGACGGGGTCCGCCTCGAGCGCGCGCGCGGCGCGCATGTTCTCCAGCATGAGCTTGGCGGGCGTCCTCGGCGCCGACTTCCGGCGTCCGGACGCGCCCGCGGCGCCGCCCGCGGCGCCGCCCGCCGCCGCGACGCCCTGGTTGGAGGAGCTCTGGCGGAAGCTGCCGCCGCCGGGGCGTTGCATCGGCCGCAGCGGGGTGACGGGGCCGTACACGGAGCCCTCGCTCTTGACGGACCCCGAGTCGTCCAGCTCGCCGTTCCGCGGCGCGCGCACCTGCAGCAGGACAAGGAGGCCACGCTTGAGAACAGTGCTGCACAGTGGGACGGAAGACCGGTGGAGGCGGCCAAAACTCTAGACGCGTTTTGAGCTGAGTCGCTGAATGGGACTCGAATCGAGCGTGTGACCCCACCAGTGGATTCCTCGTTCGGAGAGCAATCCATTGGTGGGGTCACACGTTCGGTTCGAGTCCTGTTTAGCGACTCTGGTCGCGACTTTGGTCACACGTTCAGAGTAGCACTCACCTCCTCGAGCCACTTCCGGATGTGCTGCTGCTTGGAGTGCGGCCCGCTGGCGCACACGTTGCAGCCCAGCGGCAGGGGCGGGGAGGGGAGGGGCGCCAGCGGCGGGGGCAGCTGCGACGCCGTGCACCCGGGGCACCCGGGGCAGGACCGGCTGCTCGGCGCGGGCGGCGGCGCTGGCGGCGACGCGGGCCGCGGGGTCCTGGTGACGCCCGGCGGCGCCGCGAGTCGTGGCTGCGACGTCGTCGACGACGTCGAGGACTCCTCCTCGGGGATCTGCAGCAGGCTGGGCGCGAAGCGCTTGGCCGCCATCTTGTGCTTGGCCAGGCTGATGACCTCCCTGATCTTGGACAGGAACTCCAGCGCGGCGGGCGGAGGCGCCTGAGCAGGGGGAGACATGCTGACAACTTGCACGGCTAACTCGTCAACGGGCAAGGGGGGTGGACGTACCACGAGCAGCTCCGGGTCGAAGTACGCCGGGTTGAAGTACAGCTTCCTCCGCGGAGGCCCCGCCATGGCGCGCACCGCGTCGGGCCGCTCCACGTCCAGGGTCTCCACGATGGAGACGTCCTCCTCGGGGAGGCGTTCGATCCCCGCCGGGTCCTAAGCAGGATAACCATTTTATTTAGCAAGCATCCTTCAAGAAGCAGAGCGGAGAGTTGCCAACCTCATCCAGTGGAGGGCCAAGCCCACTCATTGCAAAATCGTTGGCCAGTTTGGCGACCAACGGGGCAGCAGCTAACCTGCACGAGGTAGTGGTCGGAGTGCGCGAGGCTGCTGGGGCTGCCGTGCACCACCACGGACACGAGGCCGTGCGGGGCGAGGTCGGTGTGGCCGCGGCGCTGCCTGTCGCCGTGGCTGAGGCCGCTGTCCGAGGCCGGCGTCTCGCCCTCCGAGTCCGAGCAGCAGGACGACGAGGCCGAGCTGCTGGCCAGGTAGGCGCCGTTGTCGCGTCCACTGCCTTCCTCCATCCTGGACGCCGCCACGCCGGCCAGCTGCCGCTCCCTGTCGGACAACACCAGTCAACACCCGCTGAAGCGTCTGACGCACTGTGGGCCGGCAGGCCGGCGGGGGCGGCCAAATCTCTACGCACTTTGAGCTCCAGAGTCGCTGAATGGGACCCGAACCGAACGTGTGACCCCACCAATGGATTGCTCTCTGGACGAGAATCCACTGGTGGAGGGTCACAGTCCGAGCGACTCTGGAGCTCAAAACGCCGCGTAGAGAGTTTTGGCCGCCTCCACCGGTCTTCTGGCAAACCCACTGTGTGACGCCGGCACCCACCGCTTCTTGCAGTTCTTCCTGCGCCGCGTCCGCATGTAGACGAGCGCGGCCAGGACGTAGGCGAGGCCGAGCAGGCCGCCGGACGCGCCGACCAGCCAGCCCGCCCCCAGCGCGCCGGAGCCCCAGGACTCCGACGTGGCGCCGCCGCTGCCGCCGCCACTCACGGGGGAGAAGGACACCTCCTTGACGCCGCTGAAGCTGTCTGCGAACCGAGAAACGTCCAAGATTGTCGAGGGCCTTGTCGATGGCAAAATCGACCACTCGCTGGGAAGGACACCGCAGTGGGCCAGAAGACCGGTGGAGGCGGCGAAAATTCTAGACGCGTTTTGAGCTCCAGAGTCGCTAATCAGGACTCGAACCGAACGTGTGACCCCACCAATGGATTCCTCGTTCGGAGAGCAATCCATTGGTGGGGGTCACACGTTCGGTTCGAGTCCCATTTAGCGACTCTGGAGCTCAAAACGCGTCTTGAATTTTTGCCGCCTGCACCGGTCTTCTGGGCCACTGTGGACACGCTTTGTACTCACTCGGCGTCCCGGCGACGCGCAGCCCCACGCAGGGCGTGAAGAAGGACTGCTCCTCCTTGCACATGAGCTGCACCAGCAGCAGGCGGCCCTCCATGGAGCGGCGCAGCGCAGCCTCGCCCAGCCACTGCAAAAGGACAGAAGGAAGGGTTGTACAGCCTGCGGGGTAGGCAACCCATCGGGCGGCGCGGCGCGGCGGGCGGCCAGCCAGGCCGCGCGGACAGGCGGTGCCCGTGAGTTTGACAGTGCAGTGGCGGCACACCGGCCCGGCGCCGCGACACTCGGAGAAAGTCCTCGCGGCGGAGAGAGGCTGGACACAATTACGTCCTTCCCGACGCTTCTCGGAATTCCCTCGGACCTTCCTCCAACGAGGAGTCATCATTTCTCGAATCGTCGCGGCCAATCGCGGCCAGGCAAACGGCGCCAATTTTTCAAACGTCGTTTGCCGTTTTCCCACCGTTGCTCCGCTCCGCGTCAAAGCGCGCCGGGTTGCGCAACCAATCCGCAGTGGGCCAGACGACCGGTGGAGGCGGTCAAAGTCCCGGACGCGTTTTGAGCTCCAGAGTCGCTCAATGGGACTCGAACCGGACGTGTGACCCCACCAATGGATTGCTATCCGAAAGAGGAATCCATTGGTGGGGTCACACGTTCAATTCGAGTCCCATTGAGCGACTCTGCAGCTCAAAACGCGTCTAGAGTTTTGGCAGCCTCCACCGGTCTTCTGGCCCACTGTGCAGTGCATCAGTGCAATCCTCAGGGAGCGGCCGGAGGGAAGCGGGAGTTTTGCCGCGGTGCGTTCAGATCAGTGTTGCCACACTGGCAGGCATTCCCACGATGCACCAGTGTCGGAGAGGTTTGGCGCGCTAGGCAATGGCTTCGCTCCCACGAAGTTGCCAGGCAGCCGGGCTGAGGTTGGCAACCCCATCGATACTGGTTTTTTCCCCCGCTTCTTTGGCAACACTGCTGCCACCACCCTCTCGTCGCGCGACGCTGCGTTCGGCGGAGGACCGGGAGGAACGTTCCCGGACAGTTGGCAGCGCGTCCAACAGTGTGCTGCCAGGGGCAGCCAGGGGCGGGGCAGGCCGGTTTTTCTGAGGTCCGCACTACGGGCCTGCTCTGCAGCTCTGCCCGACTCTGCCCGGCTCTGCCCCACGCTGCTCGAGTTGGACAACTGCCCGGGCAACACGTTGGCGGCCAGATCGTCTCGATCCAGTTCCGAGGCCCTTAAGGCGAGCCTGGGATTCTGTTTGCGCTACTACCCGCACTCCTCCAACGCCCACTCTCAATCCACACACAAAAAAAAAGTTGGCTGGTGTGGGATTCGAACCCGCGGCGCTCACCTGCAAGTAGCTCCTGCCGTTGTCACGCAGCAGTCGCAGGGGCGGCTCGGTGTCGGAGTGGTTGCGCATGTCCACCCAGCCCGCCTTGGCCAGGAACCGCGCCCCGGACACCACGCAGATCGGGGTGCTGTTGCCTGCGAGCACAACCCGAGTTTTCATCTCGTGTTTTCGGGTGCAGGGTCCTTTTGGGGCACACAGTGGGCCAGCGGCCGAAACTCTAGACGCGTTTTGAGCTCCAGAGTCGCTAAATGGCACTCGAACCGAACGTGCGACCCCACCAATGGGTTGCTCTCCGAACGAGGAATCCATTGGTGGGGTCACTCGTTCGGCTCGAGTCCCATTTAGCGACTCTGGAGCTAAAAACGCGTCTAGAGTTTCGGCCGCTGGGAAATCCACTGTGGGGCGCTGCGGTGGCTTACCGGGGAACTGGATCTCGGCGCTGGGGAAGATGATCTGGCCCTTGAGGGGCAGGAAGACGAACGGCACCGTCTGCGACGCGGAGCCGCTGACAAACGGAACCAGGCTGCATTCTGGACGCGGAGAGAGAAAGACGATTAGAAAACGCGGCCGGGCTTTTCTCTAAAACAGCGGCAAATAAATAAGCACCGTGGATGTCGTCGACGCAGACGTGCAGGTCGTCCCGGAAGATGGGCAGGCTGGGCAGGCACTGGCAGGAGCAGTCCGAGCCCGCCACGTCCAGCGCGGTGCCGCCGCTCCCCGACCCGCACTGCCCGGGGCAGCGCTGCCCCGCTGGAAAGAAAAAAAAGCGCCAAAATTAGTTTTTCTTATGTTTAAAAAAAAATTGAAGTTGAAAATAGCAAGCATGAGAAGACAAGATTTTAAATCGGAAAAAAGTTTGCAAAGCTTGCAAAAAAAATAATAATTGCAAAACTTTTTTTGCAATAAATTTTGCAAAACTTTTTTTTTGCAAAAAGTTTTGCAAAACTTAATCTCTACACAAAAAATAACTTAACCTTTTTGAAAAGATGTCAGAAGTTAAGGTTAATAACTTTAACTCTTGCGATAACGTTATGATGCCCTTATGAGGTAAGTTAAGGATCCCTGATTATTTTTTAAAATCGAAATTTAGAGGGCGTACCTGCCGTAGTGTAGACGTCGCCCTCCAGGTGTCGGGTGATGACGTAGCTGGGCGGGGCAGGGGGCTGCCCCGCGAGGCCGGTCCCGCACATCAAGACCATCCAGGACAGCACGGCGAGCAGGGCCGGGCCCAGGGCCCCCCAGCAGGGCGCCGGGGCCAGGCCCAGGCCCAGGCCCAGGCCCAGGCCCACGGCCCCCCGGGGGGCGGCAGGTGACGGCGCCCTCAGCGACATGGTGCTCGTCAACCCATCGCCACGCGTGCACCGCGCCTGCGACAACAACGGGGAGGTCAGCCACAAAGTAGCAGTCTCTCTCTCTCTCTCTCTCTCTCTCTCTCTCTCTCTCTCTCTCTCTCTCTCTCTCTCTCTCTCTCTCACAGAGACAGAGCGACTCGTCGGACACTCGTGACGCGCAGTATTTGAATAACTTGGCGCCGCGTTCAAACCGCGCCGTCCTTTCCGCCCACGACTCCGCAGCGGTACCTACACTGGCCGAGCCGGTACCCGCTGGATTCCACACAGCACCTGGTTCACCACAAACGAGACGGACTGCCGGAGAAAACGGCAAAAAGTGCAGCTGGTAATAAGTGACCGAAATTTTTTTTTAAAAAAATGATAAAGTTGGTATTTGAACCCGGGCCCGAAAAACTCATCTCATTAGTTGATGCAGTCGGCACGCAGAGCGACGCACGTAATCAATCCGATCGAGTAGCACCATTCATTTGGCCCGTCCGGCGGAGAAGCCGCGTATCGCCCAGGCAGAGCCGAGGCAGTTGCGGCCGACCGTGGCCGATGATTCGGTGGCAGCGACGTGAGGCGGGCCGAGCGGCCGAGCATCGTGTATCGGGTGCCGTGTGCCTTTCCAGGTCAAAGCGTCAAACGTGCGTCGCACACACACACGCACACACACACACACACACACACACACACACACACACACACACACCACGCACGCACGCACGCACACACGCACGCACACCCAAATGAAGAAGCAATATATTCGTGTTCCTAAAAGCAGTCTGCCTACCGCATGCTGCCTCGTTCTCTCTCTCTCTCTCTCTCTCTCTCTCTCTCTCTCTCTCTCTCTCTCTCTCTGATTTGCCCCTACTTGTTATACACATGCTGCATTAAGTGCCGAAATACATGGCCGCGGTCATGCAGGAGGTACGTGTCACACCCGTCGGCATTCCGATAGCCTTTCCCTTGGCTTGACCGGGCCGGGCCAAGCTCGGCCGGCCCAGGCTCGGCCGGCCCGGTCCTGTCTGGATCTCAAACATATTTCACGACTTCCTCTTTCACGCAATTTGCTGTTTACTTTTAACCCTTTTTTTTGAGCGCGCGGCATACAAGAGAGGCTAATGGTGTGCAAAGCGGCACAGGTGGTCTCATTTTCAACTTTTTTTTGCTGTTTTTTTTTCAGATTTATTTGGGGAGCGCATTGCAGCTTGTCGCCCTGAGTGCGCGCTGCTGCACGCACTCAGACCAATTATTCCGAGGCTTATTGAAATCGGGAGGGAGGCTCCTCTGGCTGGTCAGAGTGCAAATGATTCACGATGCAGATTCACATTGCTGGGAGCAGTGAACATCGAGGGGGAAATTGAATTTCAATCGCAAGAAAGTTTTTCTCTGACTGACATGGGGGACGGACGGACATAACAGTAGCCGGTACGAGCCGGTATCGACAGAATGCAAAAAGGCGTCGTCTACACTGTGGCGAAAAGACAACAACTACTTTCCCAGAGTCCGTCCCTCGGCGGGGCACTGGCCGCCGACATGACGGACGGTCGACACGCCAGTGACACGTCAGTGACTCGTCAGTGACGTGTAGCGCCAACAGACGAACAGCTGCCAGTCTGACAGCGGTCCCGTGCGGCCGCACCGGGAGACGGACGACTGGATTCGACATTTTATGCCATATTTTAGGGATAAAGAAGAAGAAGAAGAAGAAGAAGAAGAAGAAGAAGAAGAAGAAGAAGAAGAAGAAGAAGACCACCCCTCCTGACACATCGCGGCGTGACTTTCACCGCTGAAGGTATCCGCTAATATCTGTTGTCCGTTCGCGCTTAATTTCATCCTCATTAATTTCTCATACACTGTCATTAGCCGCCACGCGTCCTCCCTTCCTTGTTTTCTTGCCGCCTTTTCTCTTTCTCTCACTCTCCTGCACTTGAATGCGACCGCGACGGCTGTGTACATACGAGGACGCGCAGACACACGCGACGGCGGCTCTCTGGAACGGACCCCCGAAGTATGGCGACTCAAAAATGCCGGATCGGACCCTTTTGACCGTTTTCGACCGCACAAGACGCGTTGGACCTTTCACTAGTCCGTATACAAAAAAAAAAAAAAAAAAAAAATACACTGCTTTGTGAGGACTGTTTCTGGTGTGGTTTCCGTTGACTAATGTCCGGTCTCAACGCGGCGAAATGGCCAAACCTGCTCCGCTGTCCATCGGACTCCGTCCCTCTCTATCCGTCCTAGGAATCCCTGCAGTGGGTCTGCCTCTCAAAAGAGACTAATGCCGTCGTTTCCATCTCAAACGCAACAAGTTTGTTTTCATTTTTAATTTTTTTTTTTGCTGGCACGTCGTGGGGCTTTCTCCAGATTGCCTATCAGCCGATGCGCGCGCGGCCGCCTGTCGCATACGCACGCAGGTGTAAAACGAAACGAGCCACGCGGCCGGGACATGCAAGGGCACCGATCACTCCAGAAAAGATCGCCGAAAATAAAAAAAAAGAAACAACCCAAAAATAAACCGCCAAAGAAAATGAAATAAAAAGATGCAAAACGGAACACGAACGCGAATCATAAAAATGACGGATCAGTTTCTGCCGTTACATGGCGGGCGTGCGTGCGTGCATGCATGCTCTCACTTCGTGCGTGGCGCCACGACAAAAAACAAAAACAGACAAAAACAAGAAGAGTTGGCCGAGAAGATGAGGAGGACGAGGTCGGAGAGAGAGAGAGAGAGAGAGAGAGAGAGAGAGAGAGAGAGAGAGAGAGAGAGAGAGAGAGAGAGAGAGAGAGGGGGGAGAAGAAATGACAAACGCGCAACCGGGCGCCACCGTCTCAAAGCCGCGCTGATTAAAACATTATGGCTGCTTGAGTGGCATTCTAAAAAATGCAGAAAGGAAAGAAAAATTGAAGAAACTGATGCGAATTTTTTCGAAATGGAGGTCACCTACTGGTCTGAAATTGGTGCCTAGAACACGCTGCGCTGCGGGCGTGGGCAGCAAACGCCTCGCTAACCCTGATCCGAGCCACGCCCTCTAGATCGGCCTGCACCTGCAACGCGAGACTAGATTCGCGGCAACTTGGCCGAAGAAAACCGCCCGTGTTTTTAATACTCGCTTCGATATTTTCGAATTTCGTCTACATTATTGCTGGTTTTGCCAGGGCCCATAGTTTCGTGGTGAAGAAGACGGCATCCCAAAGGACAGCGCCGTCTGGCGGCTGTTTCTTTATTTTTTTACTTCCCCCTTCTCCTTCCGAAATTAGCATCCAGGCTCATCAACCTGTTGTGCATTCCAGTTCCCGGTAGCGGTGCCTCGGTCGCATCGACTGTCGGCTTGGTTGGACCTCGCTGGTCCTCGTGTCCTGCGGTTTCGGTGTCACTGTCCGGGCCTCGCCAAAGGCATGACCATCTCAATGAGATGACCGCCGCCAAAAGCGTCCGAAGAATGTTGTTGTTGTTGTTGGAAGGAAAGCACCGCGAACAAGCAGGATAACGTACGCGCACGTGTTACACCGTCCGTAAAGTGCGGTCCATCATATTTACCCAAAATAAACGACAAAGGGAGGGAGCAAAAATGAAATTGCTGAAAAGGCCTTTTAATTATTGTCATTACTGTGATGGAAGGCGCGGCACCGCTAGTTGAGGTACGTCCGTGTCTGCTGACCGCACGGAGCGTCATCGGTCACATGCGGTCACTTCTTTGCGGTCGGGGGAAAAAATGGAATGCCCCGTAATGGTAGAATCGCACGCGCCTCGGTCCGGCTGGATTAGCTTTTTGCCTCAATATTAAAATCGTGCAAAATGAAGCGCGCGTGCTCGAAATGCCGCAGCCGGTCAAACGGGACCTGAGCCGGGCGATGCGATGTCAAGTGGAGTCCCTGACCCGTCAAATGGGACTCAGCGGACCAGGTCAAAATGGGTCTTGTCGGAACTTGGTCAAATGGGTCTTGTCAGAACTTGGTCAAATGGGCCTTGACGGAACTTGGTCAAATGGGTTTTGTCAGAACTTGGTCAAATGGGTCTTGACGGAACTTGGTCAAATGGAACTTGACGGACTTTGGTCAAATGAGGCATAAATAGGTCAATGTGGACCGTAGTAAGGTCATATGGAACGCCATATGACCTAAGACTGTAGGACCCAAAACTCGGACCCGGGTTAAATGGGACTTGAACAAATTTCGGTCAAATGGGACTCGCGGAACTCGGTCAAATGGGTCGGTCAAAGGGCTAATCCGAGTGGCGGCCGGTGTAGCAGGTCCACTGGTCCCGGTATTCAGTGTACAGTACCGCAAACGAGGAGGAGGGGGGGGCAATCTGACACCGGCCGGCAAAACATAGCGCCGCTCGGCAACTCATGGTTCAGACCGGACAGCCCTGCCACTGTTACCCTCCGAAAAATAATGTGAATTTTTGTTTTTGTTTTTAGATACGCCGCAGCGTGCAAAACTGCAGCAGGCATTAGCAATCGACTTTAAACACCCGGGCAGGCTGGGAAGTAACTCGCAGTGACTCGTCTAGGCTGCTGCCAAGTGTACCAAGTACTCGCTCCACTACCGACTTCCATCGAGGCTTCGCTGCGCTGGGCAGCGCGGGGCGTGGCAAAACACATGTCGTGCTGCGCACCGATTAGTTTCCAACGCAAAATGCGCCGCCTTCAATACCTGCATGCATTCATCCTCTCGATCCATTCAAGGGTTGCTAACAGTACACTGCCGTGATACGACGGTCAAAAGCATCCCTATTTTAACGGTGTGTCTGTCGAGTTACAGTGTCGGAGAGACGTCGCGCACTGTTAATAATGGCCACTGCAAATCTCCTTATTCATACCTCTGCCTCGCCGGGCTGGACTCATAGACATGCGCCGCGCGATCTCACACACACATACACAAGTGCACGCACGCACACACACACACACACACACACACCAAACGAAACGATCTTCATCCCGCACACGTCCGCCAACACCTACTAGACCTGCCCAATTTGTCTCTCATTCAAGCGCGTGTCGCAAATTCTAAATATTCCGCATGTCAATACATACTTTGCTCACCTTTCTTATTCAACCATTTTTTTTTGCGCTGTCAGATTCTTTGTTGGTGGCATTCCCCCCCCCCCCTCTTTCTCTCTCTTTCTCCAGCAGCGCCAATGGTCTGGTTTGTTTGGATTAGCCCGAAGCCGTCACGATATGGTGCCGGCAAGAAGAAGAAGAAGAAAGAAAGAAGAAGAAGAAGAAGAAGAAGAAGAAGAGAATTAGCGAAAGCGCCTGCAGAACGCAGGGCGGGCCGACCCGCAAACCACGAGTGTCGTGCAGTGATGCCTATCTCTCTCTTCGCAGGCGTTCCAGCTTCTCTCTCTCTCTCTCTCTCTCTCTCTCTCTCTCTCTCTCTCTCTCTCTCTCTCTCTCTCTCTCAGGGAACGCACGCGCATGGCGCGACTCGCATCTAATATTTTACAACAAACAGAAAGTAGGCGCGCGTCTCGTGCCGGCCGACGTCAACTGCAGTGTAGCCGTCGCGCTTTGACCGTCACCGCACGGCCTTTCTCCGCGGAAACAAGGAGAAGAGAAGAAGAAGAAGAAGAAGAAGAAGAAGAAGAAGAAGAAGAAGAAAAGAAGAAGAAGAAGAAAAAGAAGAAGAAGAAGGAGAAGAAGATCGGATCTGTAAATTCCACGCGACGGTAAGTGTTGAAACACACACACACACACACACACACACACACACACACACACACACAGAGGCGCCCGGTCCCCGTGGGGGGTCCGTCGTTAAGCTCGAGCCGCCAATACGGCTCGAAGGCCCGGAAGGCCCGAAAGGCCGTTTCCCACCCAAGGCGTATGAGAAATAAACGGTGCGTTAACGGCGGGGCGCGCGAGGCCGGCACAGCCATGGCTGGGGACCTGTCGCTAATGAGTTGCCCGTCTTTCAGTGTGCCAGACTCCACTAGACCGCAGATTCGACTGGTGGACGGGCCAGCCTGGGCTTTGCAGCACCGTGGTGTCGAGAAGAGAAGGTACTTCTATCGAAAGCGCCCAAAAACGCGAAAACGAACACACATATTTTAGACGCAGACATGATAAATTTGTCTTTCTAAAAGAAGCAGGTGACCGCGCTAGTCCTGAACCGGTGCCTCCGTCGCCACACTGTAAAACAAAGTTGGGACGAAATGACTTTAGTTTTCATTTTGACTGCAATCCTGGTGGAGTTGAATCCAAAGGGTCCTGCCGGTATTGCTTCGAAAGTCAGCCGACATTACAGTCGATTCGACTCAACTTTTTCGGGAGTGGAAAAAAGCTCCGCCGCCAGGGAGGTGTCCGGCTAATTCGAGACGCGAGCCATAAGTCTGCGACTTTGGGCCGGCGGGTCCCCAGCGGGTCCCCAGTGGGTCAGCGCCGTCGGGACATCTGCAGCCGAGGGCCGAGGTCCGCTCCCAACACAACCGGCTCACACTAGCGGTCACTAGCGGTCACACAGATCCGCCTCTGATATATCCACTTAGGCCAGTGTCCCACGGCGGCAGGGCCAGGCAGGGCCTGGGTCGGGGCGCCTGGATTCGGGAGAAACTTCCGTTGGTCAACGCCGCAGCGCGCCGCAGCGGGAGCCCCGTGCCGTCCGGCTAGAAAAGGCGTACAGCGGGACAAGCTCATCACTTCCAGCCTCGCACACCGAGAGGATTAATTCCCTACACCGCGAAGAAAAACCTAAAAATTTTAATTTTCCCACAGCAAGAAAAGGTTGCGCATTACCCACCCCCTATTTTTAGAGGTTCCGTCCGACAAAGGAACGCTTCTTTTAATTCTTCCACCCAATGCGATTCGAAATAAAAGTGCCATACTATTTCTTCTATTTAAAAAAAAGGAAAAAATTCCGATTTATATAAAAAAAAAACAGTAAAAAAATGTTGCGCACTTTTTTTTTTTTGAAGGGTTTCGACAAAGGAGGCGCTTTTTTAAATTCTTCCAACCTCTGCGATTCGAAAAACAAAGAAGTGCTGAACTATTTCTTCTATCAAAAAACGCAAAAACTAATTTTTTTTAAATTTTTTTTTCAGCTAACCAATTTTTTTTTTTGCGAAGTGATGTCGTTGAAGCCCTGCCAATAAACAGCGGGGCCTGGCCTGGCGGAACTGCAGCGCCTGGGCGGGCACGTGCCCCGGGGCAGTGCACTGCTAATTAGCGAACGGCGCCGCGCTGTCTCTCTCGCGCCGCTGCGGGACGCCCTGCGAGTGCGAGAGAGACGGAGCGACGCCCCGTTCGGAAGCAGCCCGCAGCCTCCGTTAGCGAGGCGCCCGGCAGGGTAGGCAACACCGCAAGGCTCCGCTGTTCGACGGGCCTCTCTCTCTCTCTCTCTCTCTCTCTCTCTCTCTCTCTCTCTCTCTCTCTCTCTCTCTCTCATTTTGTTTCAATTTTCCGTTTCCCACACCACTTGGCCGTCCTCTGCGGTTTTTCTGGCCGGCCGGAGAAAAGTAGCGTCCACTCTGGCCGGCAGATGTCTCCTGTTGGGGCAAGCCGGCAAGCACACGGGCCTGGGCCTGCCCGGACACAGACGGCTCACTCACACACGCTCTCTCTCTCTCTCACACACACACACACACACACACACACACACACACACACACACACACACACACACATACAGAAGCCCGACACGCGCCTAGGCACGCCTCACAATTCGTTTCGAAAGTGGCAAATGATCGGGAAGCCTGCTGCGGCGACGCAGACGGCGCTTTCGTCCGAGACGTCGACATTTGTGTTTAGCAGTGCCGGGCTGGACTGTTCGCGCGGACGCACAGTGAGCCAGAAGACCGGCGCAGGCGGCCGGAACTCTAGACGCGTTTTGAGCTCCAGAGTCGCTAAACGGGACTCGAACCGAACGTGTGACCCCACCAATGGATTGCTCTCCGAACGAGGAATCCATTGGTGGGGTCACACGTTCGGTTCGAGTCCTGTTTAGCGACTCTGGAGCTCAAAACGCGTTGTTTTGGCTGCCTCCGCCGGTCTTCTGGCCCACTGTGCGCGGAGGCCGGCGGAGGGCGACGGGGTCGTCGTCGTGGTCAGTGAACGGGACGGTGTCGCTGGCGTCGTTCGGCGCGGCCGGTTCGTTCGATGGCGTCCGCCACCTGTCACCTCCGCGACGTGGCCGCGGACGCCGCGGACGTGCCCGCCGACGACCCCAGGACGACGTGGGCGGCGCGGCACAGCGGCGTCGCGGAGGAAGCGACCCGACCACATCATCAGCGACGCCCCATTAAGGGACACCGTAAAAACAGGTAAGTAAATAAATCGGAATTTTAAAAAAAGATGCACTTACGTGTCACCGGCGTGATGAAGTCATGGCAGAAATATCGGCACCGCCAGTCTGCAACCAGATAAAGCACCATGGTTTATGATATTTGTTCGTCGGCCCGCACGCACACACACGCCTCTCTCTCTCTCTCTCTCTCTCTCTCTCTCTCTCTCTCGCCAGTCAATGGCCAATAACAGCCGATGGCAGCTGCAGGTGTAATATACGGCGACCGATGCGATATGCGGACCGCGTGCGCGCGTGCTCGGCCAAGCGGAGGGGGTACTCTGCCAAAAACGGGTTTCGCGATAAAATTGAAAAATCTCTTTTCCCTTTGCCGCCGCCTCTCTCTCTACCGCGCGCGCTTCCGGACCGCGGCTAGTGTATGCGTTTACATGTGTGTGTGTGTGTGTGTTCGCGCGTACGTGGATATATGCGTTTCGCGACACGCGCGCAGCTCTGTGTGTGTGTGTGTGTGTGTGTGTGTGTGTGTGTAAGTGCAAGGCAACGACAGGTGCGGACGTGCTTCGCCCGTATGTGTATCTAAATGAGTGTGTGTGAGTATGCACGAGCCGTCCCGCGTGTCTGTGTGCGTGTTATGCCGTCGATAGTGCGCGTGTCCCAGCTTTAAAAGAATGTTGCCTGGGACTCGCCAGAAATGTTTATCCAGAAGAAAAGGAAGCCTCCGTCGAATCGAGCGCGTGACCCCACCAATGGATTCGTCGTTCCGAGAGCAATCCATTGGTGGGGTCACACGTTCGGTTCGAGTTCCATTCAGCGACTCTGGAGCTCAAAACGCGTCCGGGGTTTTGACCGCCTCCACCTGTCTTCTGGCAAATCCACCGTGCGCCCCGCCGCTGGAGCTCAAAACGCGTCTAGAGTTTTTTTGGCCGCCTCCATTGGTCCTCTGGCCCACTGTGCGGCGTGCAAACCTGACCCACTCGCACGGAAACAAAACAGCCTTCCGAAAGTCCAGATTGAATACTAATTAAAAGCGGACACTACCGTTGTGCGGTAATTGACGTAATTGCAGCTTCGTAACTGCGAGCGGCCAGTCAGTCATGCCACGGGCTAGCAGTGCAGTGGCTCCGTTTTGGCGCGGCCGACGTGAGGTAGCGGTGCGGACGATGCACCCCGGTGCACACATCCTCTTAATAATGTAATTATGCAATGGTGACACGTGCCGTGGCGTGCCGAACTCACAGACGGACAGACAGACAGACAGACAGACAGATAGACAGACAGACAGACGTGTCGTTGGCTTCGTCATGCATCAATTGACGTCATGGACTCCAAAGGGATAGTCGCCAATTAGCCGTCGTTTCAAGTTCAATGGCGATCTCTAGTGTCGGCACGCGGGGCTCTTCGGAACGCCCCTGGAACGCCCGAGGAACGCCCGAGGAACGCCCCTGGAACGCCCCTGGAACGCCCGAGGAATGCCCGAAGAACGCCCGTGGAACGCCCAAGGGGTAACCAACTCAAGATTTTCATGTACACTGATTATATTTAGAATATGATTACATGTGATTTATTTTGATTTTTTTATTATTTATCACTGATTATAGGAGGTTATTATGTTGATTATTGGGTAATGTTGGGGATTATTTGAGCGCCGACCTCGGAAAGCTACTAAAGTGTCGGAAATTCAATATTGGTGACTTTGGGAAGCCACTGCGTCAAATTTAGCTGCGGTCATAGGCCTTCCTCGACGCCTTACTATTATGAAGACCCTACTCTTTCATGCCCCGCCTCGGGAAGGCTTTGACCGCTGATAGTTTGGGAGCAGTGGTCTCGCAAAAATGGTCAAAAAGTGAATGAATTTCAGAAAATTACCGTTTTTGCTGACTTTGAGCGGTCACTGCATCCAATTTAGCTGCGGTCAAAGGCCTCCCTCGACGCCTTACTATTATGAAGACCCTACTCTTTCATGCCCCGCCTCGGGAAGGCTTTGACCGCTGATAGTTTGGGAGCAGTGGTCTCGCAAAAATGGTCAAAAAGTGAATGAATTTCAGAAAATTACCGTTTTTGCTGACTTTGAGCGGTCACTGCATCCAATTTAGCTGCGGTCAAAGGCCTCCCTCGACGCCTTACTATTATGAAGACCCTACTCTTTCATGCCCCGCCTCGGGAAGGCTTTGACCGCTGATAGTTTGGGAGCAGTGGTCTCGCAAAAATGGTCAAAAAGTGAATGAATTTCAGAAAATTACCGTTTTTGCTGACTTTGAGCGGTCACTGCATCCAATTTAGCTGCGGTCAAAGGCCTCCCTCGACGCCTTACTATTATGAAGACCCTACTCTTTCATGCCCCGCCTCGGGAAGGCTTTGACCGCTGATAGTTTGGGAGCAGTGGTCTCGCAAAAATGGTCAAAAAGTGAATGAATTTCAGAAAATTACCGTTTTTGCTGACTTTGAGCGGTCACTGCATCCAATTTAGCTGCGGTCAAAGGCCTCCCTCGACGCCTTACTATTATGAAGACCCTACTCTTTCATGCCCCGCCTCGGGAAGGCTTTGACCGCTGATAGTTTGGGAGCAGTGGTCTCGCAAAAATGGTCAAAAGTGATTGAATCCCCGAAAGTATGATTGTCATTTCATTGGATGATGTTGATTATTTCACTGATTACCAGCTAGACGTGCAATGATTATCATGATTTGGGTACCCCTTGGGAACGCCCGTGGAACGCCCGTGGAACACCCTTGGAACGCCCGTGGAACGCCCGTGGAACGCCCGTGGAACGCCCGTGGAACGCCCGTGGAACACCCGTGGAACGCCCGTGGAACGCCCGTGGAACGCCCGTGGAACGCACCTTGCTGACCACCCAGAAGCCAGTGTGTGCTCGCGAGATTAAGTTATTTGCTCGGAAAGTGTTGGTCACCAAGCTATGCCACCACTGAGAGCAATCCATTGGTGGGGTCACACGTTCGGTTCGAGTCCCATTCAGCGACTCTGGAGCTCAAAACGCGTCCAGGGTTTTGACCGCCTCCACCGGTCTTCTGGCAAATCCACCGTGCGCCCCGCCCGCCCCGCCGTGTCCGCTGGGCAGTGCAGTGGGCTGCTTGAGGCGGTGCTAGAGTCCCCCGTTAGCCAGCCAGGCTAGGCCAGGCTACGCGGCCGCGTCCCGAATGGCTTCGTGTTTGGTGTCCGTCCGGTAGTCGCATGGCGCGGCCGCGTGTGCTACACTGTAACACTGGAACGCTTGTGACGCGCCAACGGTAACGCCTTACGGACGGCGAGTGCATGCCCCGGTTTGTCTAGTGGGATCCTCACTTAAGGGCAGTCGCATGGCCCAGCAGCGAGGCGGCCTCATTGCCTTTACCCCAAAACAGGCGAAAACGGCACCGGCAGGGCGAGCGGACAACAACAACAACAACAAACAAAAACAGACTAAAAACAAAAAAACAAAAGACAAAAAAAGGCGCGCGTTTAGCCGAGATTCGATCCCGCGACCGTGGTCGCGTCCGTGTCGGAAGCAAAGCATCTCGTTCGAGATCTCGTTGGGTCCGGCGGGCACGCGCCGCCGCGTCGTCGTCGCTCCGCAACAACATGATGGGCCCCGAGGGGGCAGGGCGAGGCTGCACAGTGGGCCAGAACACCGGTGGGGGCAGCAAAAACCCTAGACGCGTTTTGAGCTCCAGAGTCGCTAAGCAGGCCTCGAACCGAACGTGTGACCCCACCAATGGATTGCTCTCCGAACGAGGAATCCATTGGTGGGGTCACACGCTCGATTTGAGTCCCATTCAGCGACTCTGGACCACAAAACGCGTCTAGAATTTTGCCGCCTCCACCGGTCTTCTGGCCCACTGTGGGCTGGGCGCGAGGCGCGCGCTCCGAGATCTCGGTCGTCATATCGACTCGATTGCATCGATTTGTGGCAAGCGAAGATGTGCCCCCCGAGGGGAAGGGGGGGCTGCACAGGTGGCGGGGCGTGCCGGGATAGCGGTGGGTCCGCGAGCCGCGTGCCCTCACGTAGGCGAGCGCACTCATACGGCGGAATTGATGCGCCGAACCTCGCCTTGACCGCGCGCCCAGCCGGCCAGCCGGCCAGCCCGAGCAGGCAGCCACGCCGTCCGAGCTGGCAGCCTTCAATTACCAACCGCCCCGCGTAAATTTCTCATATTCATTCAAACCGTTTTAGCGCGCGCGCGCGCAGAGAGGCTTGCCGTCGCCGCCCTTTCGATTGGCCTGTTATTCAATCTCTCTCTCCTCTCTCTCCTCTCTCTCTCTCTCTCTCTCTCTCTCTCTCTCTCTCTCTCTCTCTCTCTCTCTCTCTCTCTCTCTCCTCTCTCTCTCTCTCTCTCTCTTCGAATCTCAACAAGACGACCCACGGCGCGTGGCTGCGGTCTGGGCCAGTCCCGGTGCCAAGTCGTCAAAAGTGCGTCGTTGTCTAGGCCGCGTTGCCTGGCGTTGCTGGCGTTGCCGCGGTGCTGGTCCTGCTGGACTCGGTGTCGGCTAGCGGGCCCTGCTAAGGCCGGGCCGTCGGGCCGCCGACAGGTGGCATACGCACTCTGCCCGCTAAGCGGCGGCCAGCCAGCGGCCAGGCAGGCAGGCAGGCAGGCAGGCAGCCAGGCAGGCAGGCAGGCAGGCAGGCAGGCAGGCAGGCAGGCAGGCAGGCAGGCAGGCAGCAGGCACGCAGGCAGCCAGGCAGCAGGCAGGCAGGCAGCAGGCAGGCAGGCAGGCAGGCAGGCAGGCAGGCAGCCAGGCAGGCAGGCAGGCAGCGCAGGCAGGAGAGCCAGGCGGCAGCCGGCAGCGCGGCAGGCAGGCACAGCGGCACAGGCAGGCGCGGAGCGACGGCGGGGAGGCGCCAACCAGGCATCGCGCGTGCAGCACCAGAGCGCAGCGCAGCAGGAACGGCCAGCAGGGGCCGGAGACCAGGTGGAGGCGGCCACACGTCTAGACGCGTGAGACCAGCGCCTTCTGGGAGATAAAGCCCCTCTGACCGAACTGCTTTCCTTTTCCCCGCTCATGGACGTGCCCAGTGGGCCGGAAACGGGAGGGAAACCTAACGCGTTTTGGGGGTCCAGAGTCGCTACGACTTGAACCGAACGTGTGACCCCACCAATGGATTGCTCTCCGAAA